AGTACATGAATGGATCAAGAAAGTTTGTTTTTTATATATATGCTTCTATCAGAATGACATAGTCCCATTTGTAAGGAAATGGAAAGACTTGGAAAAAATTTTATTACGTGAAGTAAGCCAAGCCAAAAGAAACATAGTTTCCATTATTTTCAATAATTAGTATATGTCTAGGATAACCTTAGCAGATGAGCAGAATGCTCAATAGCTATGTACATATGACCATATAAGATTGTGCCAAGTGAAATGAACTTCAAGACATGGACACAAGAGGTTTTTCTTTGTTGTTGTTTTTAATGTGCTATATGATTTTTTATTTCTTTTGAATGTTCTTCCCCCTATGGCATCTCCCCTGTTGTCACTATATTTGAATTTGGTACCCTGGTATTGTATATACATTTATCTGAATTAGGGAAGGGACGGGGAACAATAGAACGATGAGACAAAGGACATGGGGGAATCAACGCAACAGTGATATTCACAAGACCATATGTTGGAAATGATCTGCACAACTTGGGGGGGAGGATTGGAGGAATGAAAGTAGGAGAAAAGTGAGGGAAGGAGTAACAAGTTTGACAAGAAATATACTTATTACTTTATGTAACTGTAACCCCTCTCTACTTTACCTGGACAATCAAACAACAACAACAAAACAAACCAACCAGGTGCTCCATTGACTAAGGGAAGGAAAAAGGTGAATGTTCCCTTTTCAAGGAGAGAGAAAAAGGAGGAGGAGAAGGAGGAGGATGAGGAGGAACAAGAAGAGGAGGAGGAGGAAAGGATTTGTCCATTCTTAAGTCTGTTTGTTCTGTTCAGGCCATTAACAGATGGTGATGATGTTGCCTACTTTGAGAGTAGACCTTCACTCAATGCTAATCTGTTCTGAACCTCACAGGCATACTAGAAGAAATGCTTAACAGGTAGCTGGGCTTCCCTTAGTCTAGCTGACACAAAATAAACTACGTGCTGCCTGACACAATTCTGTAATCTCTGCTTTAGAAGAACTTTATCTGTGTCTTAAGGACCACCCATCCCAAAATTTGATTTTGCATTTTTTTTCTTCTATCAGGGTAGGAGTTGCTCTGTCTTTAACTCACGCTGAACCACTTTCATTTCCTGACTTAAATTTCTAATCCCTTACCATCCTAAAAGGTGTAGGAAACAGATTCAAATGGGCGAAGAGGTAAGAAGTTAAAAGTTGTAGTTAAGATAGTGCCTATAGGAGTTAAGGGTTGAAGCTCAGTGGCAGAGCACATGTTAGCTGTGCAAGATCCTAAGTTTCATCTCTAGTACAAAAAGTAAAAATACTTAAAAAAAATGAAATGAGAAATGATAAAGCATGAATAGAGGCAAAGGAACTGGAAGGGAAAGCAAGGACTAGAGATACGCTCTGGAAGTTATATTGAAAGACCTAGCAAAACTCAGTGCTAGAGATCTTTTTTATTTTCAATACAAATGAAAGAAAACTTCATTTCCAGAATTACTAGGAATTTTATGGGGCTCTTTATGAAAATGTAGTCTTACCTAGCCATTTAAGGAAAACAAGTATTGTTTAGATTTTCGGATCTTCTACAAGATTATTTTCTAAGATCTCAACTACCACTTGAGTATATATTTTCTTCCATGAAAGACAATAAAATAGACTTTAAAATTTTAAGGAAACCCCTTCTAGATCCTTATGAAATTGTAAAGAACAACCCCTGGGTTTGGGGGCAATTTTTGTTGTGGCTGTTGTTGTTTTAGACTTTATTACTTCAGAAAGTGAGTACGCCTGTGATGAGGAGTAGAGACCAGCAGGAGTGGACCATGATACAGACTTTGCATCTCCATGTACACCCACTTCCAGGTCTCTTGGCGCCTTCTCTCACATGGAGTTACAGAATTCTCATTAAGACTGCAAAATTGGAAACCATGTAAGTTCCTGACATTCAAGAAAACTGCTTGAAATCTACTTCGACTACTTTTTGTAGGTGTCCTGGAAAGTTATGGCACTCAACCATTGCAATACTATTCTGAATGCACAGAGTGCTTGGAAAGGTACACACCAATTCCGAGAACTTAACCTTCTTGACAGTGGCAATTGACACTTTTCCAAATATTGATCTTATCTCTTACTTCAGTGTTTGAAGACAAATGGAAGAAGAATTTTTGTCTTTTCAAGCTTCCAGTATAATTAAGCCTTAAGGCAAATAAAAAATTTACTTAATGCCTTTAGTAGAAGTTTATGTAAAAACATAAATAAATAAAAAGAAGCTGGGTACAGGAGACGCATGCCAGTAATCTTAGCTACTCAGGAGGCTGAGATCTGAGGATCACAGTTTGAAGCCAGTCCAGGCAGGAAAGTCTGTGAGACTTAATCTCAGAAAAAGCCACAAGTGGTGCTGTAGCTTTAGCAAAAGGAGGACAGAGGAAGCACCTATGTCTAGAGTTCAAGCTACAGAGCCAGTGGAGGAGGAGGAGGAGGAGGAAGGAGAGGGGGAGGAGAGGGAAGAGGAGGGGGAGGAGGAGAGGAAGGAGGAAAGGGAGGAGGAGGAAAGAAAGAGAAAGCAAGCAAGAAAGCAAGAAAGCAGGCAGGCAGACAGGCAGGCAGGCAGGCAGGAAAGAAAGAAAGAAAGAAAGAAGAAAGAAAGAAGAAAGAAAGAAAGAAAGAATAAAATTATGACAACAGTCAGACACAATGTGACTCCTGCCTATAATCTTACCTACTTGGGGGGCTGAGATTGGGAGGATAATTATTCTAGGCCAGTCTTAGACAAGAAGTTCACAAGACCCTCCACTATTAGAAACTCATCATAACCATTAAAAGCTCAGCATAGTGGTGTGTTCCTGCCATCTCAATTTATCAGAAGTGTGAACAGAATGATCCAGGTCCAGGCCAGCCCAGATGAAAGTGAGAACCTATTTGAAATATAACTAAAGTCAAAAGAATGGACGTGTGGGATTGTGTCTCAAGTAGTAAGGCACCTGCGTAGCAGATTCAAGTACTCAGCTCAATGCCCAGTGTCAAAATACATAACAAAAGCAGTTTCCTTGTTCCCATCAACTTGCACGTGGAAGAGAAATTAATTGGGAAGGAGCAAAGAACTTTGGGGAGAGGGAAAGCAGGAAAGAGAGGGAATCTGAGAGGGTTTGAATCTGAGAGGGTTTGAACAAACCATAATATATGCATGTATAGTAATTTAGCATAGGAACTGATTCATCTATACAATTAATATGTGTTAACAATTATAATCTTAAAAGTTTTGTCCTGTGCTGGGCACCAGTGGCTTAAGCCTGTGATCTTAGCTATTCGGAAGACTGAGACCTGAAGATCAGGGTGCAAAGGCATCCCAGGCAGGAAAGTCTGTTTATCTCCAATAAACTATGCAAAAAGCCAGGAGTAGAGCTGTGACTCAAGTGGTAGAAGACTAACTTTGAGCAAAAAGGCCTAGAGACAGTGCCCAAGCAGAGGACTGGGCACTACCAAAACAAACAAAAAAGCTTTGTCCTGTGCTTCCCATCCTTCCCTGCTCGAGGAAGTCCCTTCCTGGTCTCACAAGAAGACAGTACCTTTGCCTTGGCTCTTCCCTACTATCCTATTTGGTACTCAGCAGGCTTAGCAGGTGATCACTGTCAAGTGCAAAGTATGATGATCACACTTCAGCCATCGTCAGAGCCATTTAAAGAATAAATATGTTTACAAATAAAATAAAAAAAATAAAAAAACATTGAAAAAAAAGAATAAATACTCAGAGGAAGTCATGGGCGAGCAACTGAGTGGGAAGCCGGAGCTGGAGTGACCCTGGGGTTCCAGTCTAAAGGCCATAGCTCTGTCAGCCCTTTCCTTGCCCAGATTCAGCTCCTTCCTGCCCAGGTTCATGTAAAGGCATTTAACCTATCCGGCCTTTCCAGCTGCCTTCTCTAAGAGCCTTCCTGGGTCATTCAGCCCTGCCTTTCTGACCGTCAAGACATACTTTAAGGGCTAAGAAGGAATATAGCCAGCTAAATAAAAATAAAAACTGGAACAGTGTTAGTTTTTAGAGTACAAAAGGTCCTTGAGTGGAAGACGAAGTGCATTTTTTAGGAGGACCGAAAAGAAATGTTGAGAACGACCTTTAAATTGAGTTGAAGCCCCAACTTCTCAAAGGAGAGGGGGCTGAAAGGAGGTGGGAGACAAATGCCCGCAGTCTGGAGAGGATCCCAGCCCAGAGGCACCAGGACCACCTGTTAGCCCTTGGTTTGTCTGAATATGTGTGTTTTCTTGAGTCCTTACTTCGTTGGCCCTACATTCTTTATAAAGTTGAACTTCTTGGACATTCCACTCGGTCTTGACGTTTCTCAAGGGAACTGAACTCGCCACGTGTCTTAAAAAGAAAGAAAGAACATGAAGATGGGAAGGGGGGGGCAATGTCCTGAGCTAGTGGGCAGGGACGTTCTGGGAACTATAATTCTTCCTCTCAGACAGCATCTGCCACGGTCACCTACGCTACGCGAAACCCCAGTGGGCTCCGAGAATTCCAACAACCAAGGATGTTTCTGGGCTCTTGTGGCTTTCCAAGGAGATCCAAGAGCCCCCCGCCCATTTGCCGAGGCGCCATGATGGACACCGTCTGATTCTAATGGGCGCGAGGCCGCTCTCTGGTGGACACACGAGCCACACTGGACCTCTTCTTCTTTGGAGTCTTGCACGGCTTTCTGCATGGTCCAGGCGCCTAGTGCAATCATGGCCCCTAGAGAACCCTAAAAGACACAGAGAAAGGCATCCGGCCGCAGAAAGCTGCTTTCTCCCCCCTCGATCCCTCGCAGCGCCGATTCACAATCCAGGGGCGCGTGGCACCTATGCACAGTTCCGCCCGAGGGACGGTGCCTTCTTCCCCGTATAGATCCCACTCCCGGGGGCCCGGTCCTCCAGCTCCCGCATCGACCCGGGGCTCCCAGCGCCCGCCGCCCCGGTTCCGGCCCGCGCGCGCCCCGCCGCCCGCCAGCCGCTCCCGGCTCCGCTTTCACTTTCGGTCCCCCCGGCGTTGAGGCGGTGGCGGCGGCGGCGGCAGTGACGGGCAGTCGGGTCGGAAGCCCCAAGTACGGCTCAGGGCTCGGACCCCCAGGTACGCACCGCGCGCGCCGATCTCAGGTCAGCGCGCGGGGACGGGGCCCTCGGGGTCGGAGGAGGGCGCCTCCCGGCCCCCTGCCCTGCACCGACTCCCGGACTGGAGGCCTGCGGCGCGGGGGTGAGGCCAAGGCGGCTGCGAGGCAGGGCCGGGTGGCCGGCTGGGCTGCACGGAACGCGGCGGGTCTGGCCTGCAATCCCGCAGATTCTGCTATCCCGAGAAGGCCCGGGGACGCATGGCCGGCCGCTCCGCGCGCTCCCCGGGCCGCACCGCTGTGGGACAGGCGGGAGCCCGCGTCCGTGCTCCGCCTACACGCTAGCGCCCGCCAGCCATCCGGCCACCCCGACAGGGGTGTGGGAGGCCCCACGTGGACCCCAAGGACCTTAGCAGGGCATCTTGAGTAGTTGCCAGAGCCCAGGGTGGCTCGCTGGGTAGGGATGGGAGTACTGCACTATCTGGGAGCCACATGTGTAGAAAAAGCCAGTTCCTTCCCTGCCCCTCTGTATTTTGCTAACAATTCTTGCTCTCCACCTTGCTTTCTTTTCTTTCTTTCTTTCTTTTTTTAATTCCCTTGTTTGAGCAAACTAAGTTTCTTGTCTGGTAGGCCTCAAGGGCAAGGTTGTAAGAGGAAGAAAAAGCGCACATACTTCTTTGAACTTTGGAAGGAGGTACTTTCCATAGACCGAGTTCAGAATGAAGTACTGCGTATTCTATTCTAGACCCCGAGTATTACTCTCAACTCAGAATGTGGCCAACACACAACCTGAAGGTTGGCCGGAGTTCTCATTATGCCACTATCTCCACCCTGACCACTGCAGGGATGTGGAATTGTACTGAAAAAAATTCTATTGAAAGATGTTATTTTCCAGGGGGACCTAAGTAGAAAAGTTCAAGTATGCTTAAAAAAAAAGTCAAGTTAATTCAATAGTTAAGTAATCCAGCAGTAGTGACAAGCTATTTTAAGATTTGGAAGAAAGTACATTACAATGGGTAGTGTCCCAATCAACCAGTAGTCCCTGACTTGGTGAACAGGAGCAATCCTGGGTGAATAGAAGTCACAATTACCAAAAGCAACTCAAATAAGATTCTTAAAACTCTAGGCCTCTGTGGCTGAGGTAAAGTGAGGTGACAGAGTCTGCTGCATTTTCATCTGTGACACTGACTGTGAAGGTTGTTTTAGTTCCATCAGATGCCAAAGGAAAATATCTTTTAGAACTTTTAAGGAGAACAATGAAGTACAGGACAGTCATCTTAACACCCTTAACTCCATGTCCAACTGCCTGCTTGAAATTTGCTCTAGGATATCTCAGACATTTGATTTTTAAAAATCAATCCCAAGCTCCTTTCTCCTCCTCTTTTAAAATCTATCTACTTCTAATCTTCATTTCAATAAAATTTACCTAGGACATCATATATTCCTGCATCCCTGATAACTGTGCCCCGCCCCCCATCCTGGAAGGTGATGAATCCTTCCTGGAACTCTTTTTTTTGGGGGGAGGGGTCTGGTCATGGGGCCTGAACTCTGGGCCTGGGCGCTGCCCCTCAGCTCTTCAGCTCAAGGCTAGCGCTCTACCACTTGAGCCACAGCGCCACTTCCGGCTTTTTTCTTTTTGCTTATGTGGTACTGAGGAATGGAACCCAGGGCCTCATGCATGCAAGGCAAGCGCTCTACCACTGAGCCACCTTCCCAGCCCCCTTCCTGGACCTCTTGATGCTTTATACTATCTATATAGCAAGCAGGGCGATTTTTATTAACATGTGTAGGGGATTTCCAAACCTCCTACCTCAAAACTCTTCTTCCAGTGGCTTCCCATTAAACTCTGCATACATCTCAAATCCTTAACTTGTCTGCTTCCAGGGACATCTGTCCTGGTATCTCATATTACAAGTTTACTAGCCTTCATTAACCTTTAACCTTTGCTTTCTACTGCCTCCATCTATAAATAGACTTGCTGTTTCTCTCCCTCCCCCTTCCATTCTTTGATCTTTTACTTTCTTTTTTCCCTCCCTCCCTCCCTCCCTCTCTCTCTCTCTCTCTTTCTTTCTTTCTCATTTTTGGTGGTAGTTGGTTTTTTTTCAGGGCTTTCTGCTTGCTAGACAGGTGTTCTACCACTCCCAGCCCCTTCTTTATGCTTTAGTTATTTCCAAAGAGTCTAACCTTTTTGCCCAGAGCAGTCTTGGGCCATAATCCTTTAAGCTATGGCATCTCACATAACTGGGTTTATAGCGTGTTGACCTCTACACCCAGCCCCTCTTCCTTTTTCGTTGGATTATATTTGTCCTCTGTCTCAGCTAAAATATCCTCAGAGGACCCCTCCACAATCATCTTGCTGCTAGTCTCTTTTAACGTGTATGTGTGTGTGTGTGTGTGTGTGTGTGTGTATGTATGTATGTATGTGTGAACTTATTAAACACACACTGCAAACTTTTATAAAGTAAGGGACTATTTTGACTAGTATCACTAGTTCTCAGCAAAAGACACAAAATAAGCTGTCAATATCTATGGAATGAAGAAAAAATTTAATTTATTTAATCTTTACAACAGTCTTGGCATAAGGGTGTTATTATTTCACTTCACCTGTAAAGAAAATGAAACTAGGGTAAGATTAACTTGCCCCAGGTCACAGCAGTGGGTGGAGGGATAAAACTCAAAGGTTTGCCTTTGTGGCTGCTTATAATTATGTATTAATATGTATGTATGTGTGCACCTTTGTGTGAACCAATAGTTGTAGAAAAATGGCAGAGAGTACTGCTTGGGTTCTTAAATTCAAGAGCGTTCACTGTGAGAAAGAATTAGTACTGTGTCACATGAAAATATCAGAAAGCAAGGGCACAAAAGTTTAGGAGAACAGAGTGCAATACAGCAGGAGTTTGTAATCACAAGAGTACTTAGCAGTGGGAATTTGGCTAAGTCTTATTTCACTTTCCCCATTTCAAAATAGGCCCTGTAGGCTTTTGGAGAGAGGCAATATGAGTAAAGTCCTGGCATTTTTAGGAGGCTAGTATATGTTTATTCTTTTTCTCCATGCCTTTGTTCCCTTAAAATATTAGTGGAATTTATTTATTTTTTTTTTTGGGTCCGGTCGTGGGGCCTGAACTCTGGGCCTGGTTGCTGTCCCTCAGCTCTTCAGCTCAAGGCTAGCGCTCTACCACTTGAGCCACAGCACCACTTCTGGCTTTTTTCTTTTTGCTTATGTGGTGCTGAGGAATCGAACCCAGGGCCTCGAGCATGCAAGGCAAGCACTCTACCACTGAGCCACCTTCCCAGCCCTATTAGTGGAATTTAACTGCAAACAAAAGTTATACTTTTTGTAACAAGGGACTAAGTACATTGAATCAGTTACTGTTTTTCAGCATCTTTTTATTCTGTATCTATGTTAATAAAACCTGTCTCTAGATCAGCCACCACTATGAAATGTTGTATTTCAAACTAAAACACTATCAGAAGTAAAGCCAGGCAAGAAAAGCTAGTGTTAAACACATTGGAACCTGAGCACAGATCCTTGGGGATTAACGAGAATTTCATCCAGAAAATACCTTATCCACTGCATTGTATTTTTTATCAAGCCCTTCTTCTGTGAGGAAAGTGGTTCTAAGTACTTTGGGAAATCCAGTGATAAATAGAGGGTTGTTCTCAAAGAGTTGTATAAGAGATGGGTATTACAAGTACCTCAGTAATAAGATTACAAGGCATGGTGTAAAGATGCTTAGGAGAGAAAAAGGAAGTTGTGAGATTTACTGTGTCTGGAAGTCATCGTGTCTGGAATATTCAAGAAAGGGCTCCCAGGGATTCCCTGTTTGAATTGGACTGTGAAAGTTGTTGAGGGAGAGGGAATGCTTGAGAAGGGATGAAGATAGAGAAAAGTCTTGGGCAAATTTGGCACCAGTCACAGCCCAGAATGGGTCCAATGATTCACATGAGGTGGGAGGTAAGCTAAAGCTGGAAACTTGGTTCCCAGTCTGTGGGATATGGCAGGTCTGGTTGGCTTTCTGAAACAATGGGGAGAGAAGTCTTTGAAGAATCACATGTTGGGAAATGACTCAATGTGGTGATTTAGAAAAGACTTCATGTCAATGAATCCATCTCGAACATGCAGTGAATCCTTGTGATGTACCAGGTCAATAAGACAAGATCTTTGCCTTGGGAAGCTTATACTTTAGTAAAAAGGAACAGACATGTGAATAATGAAGTCCACTAAAGGACAGTTATAAGATAGAATTCCACCCTGGCTCAGTAGAACATAAAATTTAGTGACTTATTGGTTGTTATTAGCTATATACTACTTCTTCTTAGTTAAACCAAGAATGCAAGGTAGGTAACTTTCATCCTAAGAAAGACTTAGTACTTATGGGAATTCACATAGTTTATTCATTGACTCTGGATGAACAAATACTGATATTTATGTGTCTATATTGCATCCCACTTTGGTTTTCTGGCAATGACCCTCCTGGAGAAACAGCCATGTCCTCTTTGGCCCTATCATGGACTCAGCCTTACAAAAAAACAAAAAGCTTTTGACAAGAGGCCCTGCCCAGCTGTCCCTCCAAAGGTCCATATACCTTCTTCCTTCTATGAATTCAAAGCCAACTGGATTTTTTAGATGAATACCTGCACAATGGCATGCTTGGACTTGCTGTGTCTACACTTCATGGAAAGGCCATACTCAGTAAGCTGTTGCTGCCAGAAATTCCAGGTAGAAACAGTACACAATTTTCCTTTACTCGCTCTGAGGTGGTATCAGGAATTCTATCACATTAGTGTTTAAAGCTTTATTCTTCTCTAAAACTTCCTATTCCTCCTTGGCTGGAAGCATTCTTCTCCTTTCTTTTTTCTTTTTCTTTTTTTTTGTCGGTCATGGGGCTTGAACTCTGGGCTTGGGCACTGTCCCTGTGCTCTTCAGCTCAAGGCGAGTGCTCTACCACTTGAGCCACAGCACCATTTCCAGTTTTCTAGAGGTTTATTGGAGATAAGAGTCTCATGAACTTTCCTGCCCGGGCTGGCTTTGAACCGCGATCCTCAGATCTCAGCCTCCTGGGTAGCTAGGATTACAGGCGTGAACCACCGGCGCCCGGCTCATTCTTCTCTTTTCTACCCCTCCACTCCCACCCCAATATTGGGATTTGAACTCAAGCTTTCATGATCTAGCTGGCTTTTTTTTGCTCACAGCTGATGCTCTGCTCTACCATTTAGCCATATTATCATTTATAGGAGCATTCTTTAATTGGTTCCTAGATTTTTTTTTAAAGGAGGAGGAACCCAGAAGTATTGCTTTTTCCCTATTCATACCACCTATCACCTGTCTGTACTGGGATTGGGAAGTTTCCCTGTTAATTGAGTGTGCTCTGGTGAAATCCTTTATGTTTATCTTGCAGATCCACTCCAAGGAGGCCTGGAGGAGACTAGGTGCATTTTGTACTGGGGGAAAGAACCAGATAGAAATAACAGGATGAAGAGAAAGTGTTATTTGTTTTGAAGTTGTGTTTTGTGCAGGGTTAAAAGGCTTATGCTAGCAGGTAGTAAGGGTGGAGGTTTAGCAACCCTCTATTGTTAGTAGAACTCTTAAAAATTTAAAAATAATGTCCTGATCTTATCATCATAGATTCCAGTTTAATTGTTATCACAAAGCATCCAGGCATAAGGGTTTTGTAAAACTCTAGATAATTTAACTATGCAGACATAATTGAAGAATCTGGCATTACGTAGAGAAAGGAAATCCTATATTGCAGTATTGTTTTGAGGGATCTACAACGTATGCTTACTGTATTTCTCCTCTAGCTAGACTATCTAGAGCAACTAGAATTGCTACCAATTACCTGAGTTCACACAGTAGAGAACTCTTCAGGTAAGTGTAGATTAGAGAAGCCTGTTTCTGTAAGGGGGGAAAAACTGCTTGGTTTTTGAAGCATAGACCTAAACTTCACAATGCATGGCACCTTATGGTCTTCAAAATAACATAGAAAATATGATCTACAACTTAACTTCCAGCAAGCTCTGTGCACAATCCTTGTATTATCTACTCTTTGCCTTGAGAGTACTGTAACCATTATTCTTCAAATCCTCCAGGGGTCTCCTTTGGTCCCTCGGAATTCCCAAAACAACCCTGTGACTTTTCTTTTTATGAGTTAGTTCCTGCCCTGGTTGATCTAATTTTAATGACCTCTTTTATTTCCAAACCTGACCCCTATTTTTAAGCTTCAGTCAAATATTGGTCTTGAATGGAGTATCCTACAGAGTCATAGAAGTCAGACATTTTGGAAATATTCTGTTCTTGCCAATACCATCTTTATTATTAGACTCAAAACACCATAGCTTTCTATATAAGCACTCCACCTTTTATTTTATTTTTTATTTGTTTTTTGGGTCCGGTCGTGGGGCTTGAACTCTGGGCCTGAGCACCATCCCTCAGTTCTTCAGCTCAAGGCTAGCTCTCTACCGCTTGAGCCACAGCGCCACTTCTAGCTTTTTTCTTATGTGGTGCTGAGGAATCAAACCCAGGGCCTCAGGCATGCAAGGCAAGCGCTCTACCACTGAGCCACCTCCCCAGCCCAGCACTCCACCTTTTTACAGGGATATTTTCTGTCTTTCCAGACGTTTAATTTCCTGAGGGTAAGTCTCTCTCTTGTGCACTATTATATTCTACACAGTACTCAGCATCTAGCCTTGTTTGTAGCAGATATTTAATACATATGATGGATGGTGGATGATTTCATGTACATTTACATGAGAGAATCCTGGTGATTGATGTATTTCTCACAAACAGTTGTGAAAATCATCATGAATACTTTTAAGTCATTCTCGGTTAAATAAGTATTAAATTCATTTTTGGCATGACACCTCAAAAATGGTATTAATGTGAGTAGTCTATGTTACTGTTACAGATACCTTCCTTCCCTCCTCTCTAGTAGGCATCTAAGGTCTCTTGTGTTCAAACAATCCTTGCCCATTTGAGGCTTGCCAGGGGAGCAATACCAACTGGGCAGTCCAGACTCTTTCAATCTCTGCCTTCCAGCTTGGCAGTGTGGACACCTGAGCTTCACTCAGACTGTGGCTTCAAAGCAGCACTGTGAGGTTGAAACCAGTAATAGAGAGTTGCAGGGCCACAGGGCCCTCATTCTGGTTGTGGCTGTAGTATTACCAGCCTCTGACTTCCAGGGCAGTAGATCAGATTCCTCAGAGTCAGGAGTGGTATCTTAATCAGATGCTTCCCTGTTGTGGTTCTGACTGTCTACCTCTACCTGTATTAGCAACCTAGTTTCTCAAATGTTCTGAAACCCAGGGACTCATATATGAAACTACTTCAGAGCATGCAATAATTCCTTGTATGCCTACATCTACCAAAGAGTGTTATATTGCTGTCTATGAACAACTATGCCTAATAGATTTAAACTTTGAAAGTCAAATGATGTTTTAGAAGTAGGTACTGGGATTGCTATGAACCATGATTTGCTTTTTCCTCAGTGAATAAATAGCACAGGGAAAGTAATTTTGCTTTCAGGAACATACTTAGTACATTTAGAAGTTTATGTCTATGCTTTTTAAAGCTGGATAGATAAATTCCATTTAAAAGATGTTTTGTTTTGCTTTTGTATGTGTGTGCCCTAGGAAGGTTGAGCAAGATGATGATGTCTCTGTCCTTCAAATGGCCACTCACAAGTGTGTCGCTGTCATGTCTACTTTCCTGGCTATTGACTCTCTTAGCTGTGTGTACTCGAGCATGGTGTCAGCATAGTGATCCCATATCTCCAAAAGCTAGTGATGGGTCACCATTTCCTTGGAACAAAATACGCCTTCCTGAGCACGTCCTCCCAGTTCATTACAGCCTCACCATCCACGCAAACCTCAGCACACTGACTTTCTGGGGTACCACGGAAGTAGAGATCATGGCCAGCCAGCCCACCAGTACCATCATCCTGCATAGTCACCTCCTGCAGATATCCAGGGCCACCCTCAGGAAACAGGCTGGGGCACCTGAAGAACCACTGAGAGTCCTGGAATACCCACCTCATGAACAAATCGCCCTGCTGGCTTCGGAGCCCCTTCTTACTGGGCACAGGTATACGGTTATCATCAGCTATGCTGGCAATCTCTCCAGCCACTTCCACGGATTTTATAAAAGCACCTACAGGACCAAGGAAGGGGAAGTGAGGTAAGTCAAAATGTTGTCAGCTTCTAGTGCTGCCCATATTATTATTTCAAATGGATTATCTTTAACAATTCCCTTTAGCTGTCTGGTTCAGGTTTGTTTACCCATCTTCTTTACATTACTAAAAATGGCTATTTTTCCCTTTGCTTTTTAAAATAAGAATCTCATTTTTCTCAATTTTAACTAATTTTCTTTCCTCCAGCTCTAGCAGAATATCTATTTGCTTAATCAGATTTCCGAGGCATAATACACGTTTTTCATTCTTTTATTATACATTAGTTTCCTAGTGCTGTCAAAACAAAATACCACAAACTAGGTGCCTTAAAGAAAAATCATTTGTTTTCTGACAGTTTTGGAGTGAGAAAAATCCAGGTGTCAGCAGGCAAATGCTCTGTCTCTGGGTGCCATCTCTCTGTGCCTCTTCTCAGCATGGGGTGATGCTGGTGGCCATTGATTCTTGACACTTTGTGCCTTAAAACTGCATTACTGTTCTGTGGTTAAATGACTGCTCCCCCTGTGTGTCCTGTTCCAAATTCCTGTCTAATCACAATACCTATCACTTTGGATTAGGGGCCAGCCTTGTGGTCTCATTTTAACCTTATTACATGTGCAAACATTCTATTTCAAAATAAGGTCAATACTTGGATTGGGATTCCAAGAGAGAGGATAAAAACATATCTTTTTAGGTAGTACAAACAGTAAATACTTTTAGAAATCTTCACTGCCTTGCTTTGGTTTTGTTTTTAAGGAAAGGAAAGGAATCGTGTGCTAAATTTTAAAATCAAATCGTCTTTGTTAGCATATTATACTGATTGCATGTTATTTTGCCATAGTAAAAAAAAGAGATGCACTGGATGCTGGTGGCTCACACCTGAGATCTGAGAATGGAGGCTTGAAGCCAGCCTTGGCAGACAAGTCCCAGTGAGACTCTTTAACAACTCAAAAATAGGAAGTAGGGTTGTGGCTCAATGTGGCAGAGCACTAGCCTTGAGCCAAAGAGCTCAGGGACAACACCTAGGCCCCAAGTTCAAGCCCTACAACTGACAAAAAAAAAAAGAAAAAACACAAATCCCCCCCAAAACAGATGATACTAAAAATAATGTTTTTTTTAAAAATCTGTTTCCTTTTGTGTTTTATTTTGTATGTATTTTTTATTGTAAAGATACTTACTGTACAAAGGGGTTACAGTTACATGAGTAAGGTAATGAGTACATTGCCTATGGAGCATTGTTACCGCGTCCTTTGTTTTTTCCCCTACCATCCTTTCCCTCCCCTCCTCCCTGACTTCTCCATCCCCTCCCCACCCCAGAAGTTAGAAAGTTCATTTTCATAGTGTCTTGTACATCTCATTGTTACAATGGGTCAACCTGTATCCTTATTTAAGCATTTTGTTATTTCCTTTTCCCTCCCCATATTAGAAAAATGTATATATAAGATGCAGGGCACCGGAATCAAATACAGTGACAATAGGTGTTATACCAAGGAGAAAGAACATACAAAAGAAACAAAAAAATCATATAGTACATTATAAATACATTAAAAACAACAGCAAGAAAGATAAAACCGGGGGCTGGGAAGGTGGCTCAATGGTAGAGCGCTTGCCTTGCATGCATGAGGCCCTGGGTTCGATTCCTCAGCACCACATAAGCAAAAAGAAAAAAGCCGGAAGTGGCACTGTGGCTCAAGTGGTAGAGTGCTAGCCTCGAGCTGAAGAGCTGAGGGACAGTGCCCAGGCCCAGAGTTCAGGCCCCACGACCGGACCCAAAAAAAAAAGAAAGAAAGAAAGATAAAAACACTTGTGTCCTTAAGATGATGCTAAAAATAATGTTTTGAGGGTTAGTGGCATTTGAACTCAAGGCCTGTTGTTGGCCAATCAGGAACTCTACCACTTGAATCACACCCTCTGCACACCCTCTGCTCTCTATTCCTTCCTTCCTTCCTGCCTTCCTTGCCTTCCTGCCTTCCTGTTATTTCTCTCACTTTCTTTTGTTTGCTATACTAGGGATGGAACTCAGAGTCTCACAGTCATCCTTAACTTTTTCACTCACAGCCGATATTCTACCACTTTAGCCATCTTTCCAGTTCTACATTTTGTTTGTTAGTTGGATATGAAGTCTTGAAAACTCTCCTGAGTTACTTTCATTATTATTTTTTAAACATGGTTTCACATTTATTTTGTCCTGGCTTAGACCACTATCCTCCTATTTTACATTTCCCATGTAGCTGGAATAACTGACACCAATGTGCCCTAAAAAAATTCTTTTAAGGGGCTGGGAAGGTGGCTCAGTGGTAGAGCGCTTGCCTTGCATGCCTGAGGCCCTGGGTTCGATTCCTCAGCACTACATAAGCAAAAAGAAAAAAGCCAGAAGTGGCGCTGTGGCTCAAGTGGTAGAGCGCTAGCCTTGAGCTGAAGAGCTGAGGAACAGCGCCCAGGCCCAGAGTTCAGGCCCCACGACCGGACCCAAAAAATAAAAAATAAATAAATAAATTCTTTTAAATAAAACGTATCCTAAACATAGTTCCTGGAAATAACTATTACTTGTATTTCAGAAAAAATTTTTCCTGACTTCTTTTCTGGTATGTGTACATGTTACTTATATAAAAGGAATTATATTTTCTGTTTGAGAAGGTTTTTAAATTTAATATGTTGGGAAAATGTTTTGATATTAATTATTATCATTCTAGATAACTTTAATGACTATTAAAATATATGTGTATTAATTTACCAAACTAGTTAAAATATGTGTATTAATTTACCAAACTAGTCTCCTATATATGGAAACTAAATTATTTCCAACTTTTAGCATCTGAAACATTTTGATGAAAATAATTATAAGTAATTTCTTTAAAATAAATTACAAGAAGTAAAATTGCTAAGTCACACAATCTGTACACTATGGTATCTCTTGCTATCTTTCCTTACCCATCACCAATCTTATGTATTGTATAGTATTGTGCAAATGTTTTAGAGCAAAAAGCAAAATAATTATTAAGGGAGTTGAGCAGCTTTTGACAGATTTATTAATAATTTATAGGTTCTTTCTGAATTGCTGTTTATGATTTGTACCCGAGACTCTGGTTAGTTGTTGGGTTTTTTTTTTACCAACTTCTTAGAGTTTAATTATTGTTTAAGATTATTAACATTTATTCAGATATTTTTTATTAATCTCCCCAGTTTGTCTTTTAGTTCATAGAAGCAATAGTCACATATAATACTTTCTTCTGTTTTCTTTTTTAAATTGACTGAGTGGTGAACTCAAAAGCAAACAGAACCTGTTTTGCAGTTCCTATATATGATGTTTTATATTACTTCATTTGCTGTGATTTTAGGGTACTTGCTTCTACACAGTTTGAACCAACTGCAGCTAGAATGGCCTTTCCCTGCTTTGATGAACCTGCCCTAAAAGCAAGTTTCTCAATCAAAATCAGAAGGGAGCCAAGGCATTTGGCCATCTCCAATATGCCATTGGTGAGTCTGAACAACTGAAACATTGAAGTATTTAGGCAGTAGTCAGGAGTTAATGGCATTTGATTTGAATTAGTATAATCAGCTTACTTTCTTAATACTATAAAACAACAAAAATCAAATTTAGAGCCAGGTTCTGGTTGGGAGCTCATGCCTCTAATCCTAGCTCTTCAGGAAGCTAAGATATGAAGGACTGTAATTTGAAGTAATTTGAAGCCAACCGAGGCAGAAAAGCCCTAGAGACTCTATTTCCAAAATAATCAGCAAAAAGCAAGGCTGGAGGCATGGAACAATGAGTGCAATGGAGGAATGAGTGTAATCTTAAGCAAAAAAATCAAGTGATCACCAGAACCTGAGTCTAAACCCCAGTACTGTGACAAAAATAAAAATGAAAACTGAAGATTTGGTTGGGAGTATGTACAAAGCCTTTAAACAGAAAAGATAAATTTGGAATCTTTAAAGAGTAATATTAAGCCAAGTGCTGATGGCTCATGCCTGTAATCTTACCTACTCGGGAGGCTGAGATATCAGCCAGCTTCAGCAGACAAGTTCATGAGACTCATTTCCAGTTAACCTGAAAAAGACCAAAGTTGAGCTGTCTCAAGTGGTACAGTGCTAGCCTTGAACAAAAAATGCTATGGGACAGTGTCCAAGCCCTGAGTTCAAGACTTAGGCTGGCACACACACACACACACACACACACACACACACACACACGCACACACACGCACACACACATACATGTACACACATGTCAGGTGATCAGCAGACACCATAGATAATTGCTGGTGAATATTAAAATGTATGAAGGCAGAGCAAGTAGTTATTGAATTATATAAAAATACTTATATGATTCCCTCAGTGACTGCCTGTTTCTTCAAGATCTCTCTTCAGTGTTTTCTTTAACTGTGGTATTAGATTTTTCCCTTGGGATAGAAGACCACTTACACTGAACCCTTACCAACTCTACCCCATCTGAAAGATCATTTCCTGATTGTACTTTAAAGCTGATTCTAGTGAAGAAAGTCCGAGTTTGGAAGATGATTTGCATATGAGGCAGAGATATAGAGCACTTTCATCTATTTAGAAAACAGCTTTTAGATAACACATAGTGATGTATTTGCCCTGGTAAAATATTCTAGACAGTGTATTTCTGGATAACTCTCAAGCAATCTTGGTTTTGCTCTGTTTCACCCTTATTAGCAATATGCATATACCAGATATGCATCAGTTTGCAAATATATGGGTTAGTCAAAATTAATGATTGATAATGTTACAACATTATAAATACACCAAGTAAATTAAAAAGCACTAGATTGTATACTTCAAATAAGCAAGCTTTGTGACATGTGAATTATATCTCAGTTAAAAAAATGAGTTGAATGGTCTGATCTTGATAGATGCATTATAATCAGATACAAGATAGAGAACTTTTGAAGTAATTATGAAAATGTCAAGTGATAGTCTTTCAATAGTATGTCTCATATTTAGGCAGATTTTTTCTTTATAGTGTGCATTCAGTGTATCTAATTACTAGCTTTCTGGATAATTTGAGTTACTCTGATTTTAGGTGAAATCTGTAACTATTGCAGAAGGATTAATAGAAGACCATTTTGACGTTACTGTGAAGATGAGTACCTACCTTGTGGCCTTCATTATTTCAGACTTTAAGTCTGTCAGCAAGATGACCAAGAGTGGAGTCAAGGTGAACCTGTAATTCATTCATAGAGTGACCAATTTGTTGTCATAGTCATTCTGGTTTTAAAGCTGAAGTCCTGCACCCGGGGGCCCCTCAATTTTGGGTAAAGCAAATCTTTGGCAATGACCCTATTGTCACAACACTCATTATTACAATGAAATTCTAATAACACAAATACGAAGAGCTTAGCCTTACTTAAGTCACGATCTACCCAGCTCCTTAACTCACTATCTCTCTGATCTTAGCCCCATTCCTCTGGAACTTAAGGTCAGACTTCTTTAAAATGTTGGACAATATTTTTCAGTGGTCTTTATGCTTGCAACTGATTATAACTTTCTGCAGTTTAAAAGGAAATGTTACTGTCTGTGGAAAGGAAGGAAGAAACAGGCACTGGATTGGAAAAAGAGGCTTTGGGAAGAACATTTAGACCAGAGAATTCTGAAGAGCTAATAGAACAAGTCTTGTTTCAGATCTTGTTCTTGTTCTTGGTACCATTGTGTAGTTGACAACTACAGCACCATATGTCATGTGGTAGAATGCAAACCAGCATTTGTGAGTAGAGAAAGGACTCCTAATGTGAGATACTTTTTATATTAGTGCTGTTTTTCTACTGTGGCCAAACAGCAGACACATCTCTGCTGGCTTCTTGTCCTATAGGCTTATGCTTACTTATCTTGGGATTTGAAAGTGGGCTCTGAGGATTCAGTGAAAGGAATATACTTTCAACAGTGAAATGATTGGCAGAAATCACCTACTCATTACTTTACCCACTTTTCTGAATCTTTTAGTAATGATTGTTTTGATAATGCTTAGTCCCTATTAATGTTTTTACTCCTGTCATTTCTTAAGCCATATAAGACACACATTTGATATACTGTTTTTGACAACTTTGATATCCTGAAGTCTTTGTATATTTGGTTCTGGGGCTAGTTGTTGTTCGTGGTATCTTGATCTTTGCATATATTGTGAGTTACATCTGTGAAGTTATACTGCTTAAATCAAAAGTGAATTTTTTTTTCTCTTTGGAGAATCCTCTCTCATTAACTCCTCTTTGTTTTCACTTTTAAATAAACTACTCTGTTTAATTTGAAAAAGTGAATTCTTCCAGATAAATTGCATTTGCTCCCACTTGGTGCATCCTGGGGTACCCAGCAGTCCAAAGATACATTTAAATAAGATTATGGCTTCAGAGATTGCGTAGTTATTGTGAGTCCAGCTGTTAAACATCATGAGGGTTAGCTTTTAGCTACAAGTTCTCTAAGGTGAAGTCCTCATTCTCTTCCATACAGTGCCAAGGTTTGAATAAGGCATTTTTTTAAAATTGCAGTTTCTTTGCAAAAGGGGCAGTTGTTTCTAGTTTACCTTTACACTAAGGACATGGCCTTTGAAGGTCTAATTTAATCGTGAGTTGTATCTCCCATTAGACTTCCTGCCGTGGTGAGGCCATGGATGGTCACTTCTTATGCCCTGATTCCTTTAGTGTCACGGGCACCAAAGCTCCAGCTGTGCTCAGCCGATGTCCACCAAAGGCTGGCTAGAGTGCTGCTGACTGGGGATGGTCAGTTGTCGCTTTACGTCCTTCATTACTCCCTTGTGCAAAAACACTTAGAAGAGACTTCTTTTTGTATATATTTGTAGCTGATCTTAGAAATGAGTTTTTATTAGAAGCAGTTAGTATTAACATAAAATATGGCATTCTTAATTGTCTTCTTTAATATTGTCTTCTTTCCCACAGGATGATTCCAACTTCACTGCAGCTATAGAGGGAAGCTATCATGATATTTGAATATCCTTTTATTCCTTCCCCTCTAGGTTTCTGTATATACTGTGCCAGACAAGATAAATCAAGCAGATTACGCATTGGATGCTGCAGTGACTCTTCTAGAATTTTATGAGGATTATTTCAGCATTCCATATCCTCTCCCCAAACAAGGTAGAGATATCTCAGGGTGGCATATGGTGATCATCCTTATAGCTGCATACAGCCCTGAGGTTCTCTTGGTCAGCCTACAAGTCATACAGACATCAGGTTGACTCTTCTGAGTATCAGCCTACTTCTGGTCTATGCAATAAACTTCTGATTATGGCAAAGGCAAACCTCCATGTGGAGTTTTAGGCACATGCCATGGGGACATCGTTTTACTTCTAGTAGTTAGTAGCAAGACGGAAGGATAGAGGCTGCACATTTTTGTCATTGGACATCTGGCAGGTACATAAAATGTGTTGAATAAGTGTTTTGAATGAGTGAATTCACACAGCATAAGTAAATCCGCCTTTTATTTCATACCTGAGTCCTGAAAACTATTGTGTGTTCAATGTGTCCGATATTTTAGGTATAAGGATATCTTGGCACCAAAAACAGAATGATTATTGAAGTAATGGCCCTTATCATCCAGTCCCAATTTCATGGTAAAAGAATTATCAATGGAGTGAAGAGGCTTAAGATACAAGTCTGCTTAGTCATATTAGAAAATGATTGAGTCACTGAGCCCTGGATGAAAATGTATTCTAGTCTGGAACCTCATAGTTCTGCACCTCTTCTTTTGATCTCAATACCATCCTCTTAGTGTATTTTAGGAAAGTGTATAGCTTTGAGATTGATTAATCTACTGTGTTGCTTCCTTCCCAAGATCTTGCTGCAATTCCTGACTTTGCGTCTGGAGCTATGGAAAACTGGGGCCTGACCACCTACAGAGAATCCTCTCTGTTATTTGATGCAGAAAAGTCTTCTGCTTCCAGTAAGCTTGGCATCACAATGACTGTGTCCCATGAACTTGCCCACCAGGTATGCAAGCTAAGTCACACTCTTTTAAAGTATGGCTATTGACACATACAACTGTAATCTAGCCCTTGGGAAAGCTGTGCCAGGAGGATCGTGAGTTCTAGGCAAGCCTAGGCCATATAGTAAGACACTGTTTGTACAAAACCAAACAGGTATGACTAAATTTTCACATTGCTTCTATGGTGATATATGAGACTATTTATATATTTATAGTTTTACTTTGTATTCACATAGAAAAATTAAAAAATATTGTAAAGGTGATATACAGAGGGGTTACAACTACATGTAAGGTAATGAATACATTTCTTTTTGGACAGTGTTACCCCTTTCCCCATTTCCTCCCACTCTCTGCCCCCCCCCATCTCCCCTTCCATAGTGGTAAAGTTCATTTCCACCATAAAGTATTAAATTTCACATTTTATGAAATCTTTTTTTTAAATTGTGTTTTTATTATCTTTAAGTAGTTGTACAAGGGGTTTATCATTCATCTATACCTTTCATCGTTCTCTCCCATCATCATTTTTAACTGAAATAGATATTCATTGTTTATAGACTCACATTTATAACCTGATCATAGATATTTTGCATATTTCTGTTTTGTGTCTTCAGCTACTCTATTACAGATGATAGATTTTCTGGTCTCTCCAGCAATGTGTGAATAAAGCCATTTCTTTCTTTAAGTGGTTTGGAAACCTGGTCACTATGGAGTGGTGGAATGACCTTTGGCTCAATGAAGGATTTGCCAAGTTTATGGAGTTTGTGTCTGTCAATGTGACCCATCCTGAACTAAAAGTTGTAAGTTGTCATTTATGATTCTTTTCCTTCTTTTTTGTTTAACCTCATTTGTTTACTAATCTTGGATTATAAAATTCTTTTAGTGATAATTTTATTGGAAGCTTAGATATATGTCGAGTTTCAAAGATGCCAGTGAATCTTTTAGACAAATCATGAAGTCCTATTTCCATAGTCTCATTAGACATAATACTAATTATTAAGTTTGTCTTCCTTTAATATCAAAGCAATAGAAATAAAGGCAACCAGAATGTTCTGTATAGTTTTCCTGACCTTCAGGTTGTCATTGTAGGAATGTAGGTACAGATTTCTATTATCTCACTAAAACCCAACCTGACAAATCAAATGAATTATGTTTAACGTAAGTGCACATTATATGTATTAACCTACATGTGTAAATCATAAAGTTAACACTTTGGAACTCACACATATTTATTTAAAGATCTTATGTTAAAATCTTATGTTAAGTGAAATTTGAAAAAAAATGGGGAAAACTGCAATACTACACTTCACTGTAATAATTCTTTTCCATTTGAGTAGACTTATTTCCTATTTTTTACCTGCCTGTACTGATATTCATATACAGTTATAATGATAAATGGTATATCCTTATTATACTGTAATATATCATAAATGTCTTTCTATATTTATATAAAATCTTTAAGAATAAAAATGATTGTGGATGCATATTATTGAGTTGGGATAATGTGCCAAATAGAGTTAAGGTTAGAATTTGTTCTCCATCTTTTCTTTGATTACATGATTATAAAACAACTGATTTGCAACATTACAACTGATGAATGGAAATGATTATATCACTATGTATTTTACTTTCCTGTTGTTTGTTTTGTTTTGGTAAAGGTAAAATAGTTTGGTTTTAGGTTAATAAGTAATTTTCTTTATTCTTAAGTGATAAATATTTGAGACAAGTCCTTACTAAAATCATTGTTTCTTAGGTGCTGTTTTAAAAGTACAGTACTTTTGTTTTATATCACAACTACTAAAATATGACATAGGTTGGTACAGAAATTGGAAGTAGAGACTATTATTCCAGATCAATCCTTCCTCCATTCATATATTTAATCTAAACGTAAATCATAGGTGCTGTTTTCTTTTTTTATTACTTTTTCTGTCTCAATAGGAGGATTATTTCTTGGGCAAGTGTTTTGATGCAATGGAGGTAGATGCATTAAATTCCTCACACCCTGTGTCCACACCTGTGGAGAATCCTGCTCAGATTCGGGAGATGTTTGATGATGTATCTTATGAAAAGGTAAAATCAAATTGTCAATGGAGCACTATATGTGTTATCTCTGTGGCATAGTGGTAGGTGGTGATGGGTGAGGTTTTAGATGGCTTTTCTTTTTTCTGGGCCAAACCCAGTTGAATGCCTTCTATCTTGCTTGTGTTGCTTGGAGTAAATTCTCTTAGGTTGAAAGTATAGTTTCTTTTGTAATCCCTAACATTATGTTTTGTCAGTTCCTTATTTATACTTTCTTGGGTTGAAGATTTGAACATTTTTGCTGTAGGAGAATCTTGCCATGTAAAATATGAGAACTGACTAGAAATTATATTTCTGTTATCTTTTCAGGGAGCTTGTATTCTGAACATGCTAAGAGATTATCTGGGTGCTGATGTGTTTAAAAGTGGAATTGTACAATACCTCCTTAAGTATAGCTATAAAAACACAAAAAATGAGGACCTGTGGAATAGTATGGCACATGTGCGTATGTTTCTATGTATCAGAACATTTGAAATTGATGCTCTTATTACCTTCTTTTATTTTGTCTTGTTCTTTGTTTCCCCCTGTGTGTTATTCCCTCTGAGAAGAATGATTGGTATTTTCTACAGAAATACAGTGATGCTATCTTTGGATTTTAGATTTGCCCCACAGATGATACTGAGACAATAGATGGCTTTTGCTTCAGAAGTCAACACTCTTCTTCATCCTCAGTAAGTTTCTCCACTGGACATGTTAGACCGAGTATGTTGGTTTAGTCCCTATTCTTCCCAAGTTAGCTCTGTGTCAAGCTTTCTGAGTTCCTTGACTACTTTACCCTCATTCTAGATAAGAGTATAAGCTATGCTTTTTTACAATTTTTCTACAAAGAGTGGCCTCGCCTTCTATGGTAATATTGCTCAGGACATTAATTCCTACCTCCCTCCAGCCTTCTTTTTTTTTTTTGGACTGGATGAATGCATTATTTTAATTAATTAGTTATTGCACTGGTTCTGGGGCTTGAATTCAGGGCCTGGGTGCTGTCCCTTAGCTTTTTCACTCAATGCTGGTGCTCTACCACTTGAGCCACAGCTCCCTCCACTTGTGCTTTTTTGTCTAAGACCAAGACTTGGACTTGGTATCTGGTGCTTTTTCTCCTCTGTTGGTGCTCTACCACTCAGCTCTGACTTATTCCTTTTTGCCTAGTTAGTTATACATAAAAGTTTCATAGGCTTTTCTGACTGGGCTGATTTCAACCTCAGTCCTCAAATCTCAGCCTCCTGAGTAGCTAGGATTACAGGTGTGTGGCAGTGACACCTGTGTAAGTAGACATATTTGTCCTGTTTCATGTTCAAGATGTGCTTCTCTAGAATAGCTTTCTCCTGCTGGGCACCAGTGGCTCATGACTACTCATAGCTACTCAGGATCTGAGAACTGAGGTTTAAAGCCAGCCGTGAGACTTGTATCTGATTAACCACCGGAAAACTGGAAGTGGCACTGTTGCTCCAAGTGGTAGAATGCTAGCCTTAAGCAAAAATGCTCAGAAACAGCTCCCAGGCCTTGAATTCAAGCCCCATGTCCACACACAAAAAAAGCTTATTCTCTTTCACCCAGCCAGTATTTGGTACTTCTTACATCTACTCACTCTGTGCCTGCCTTTAGGAAAGCATTTACTGAATTATGGTTTGTTAGTGCCTTTCCTTCAGAATGAGGAGCCCATCTTGCTTTACCTATTGGAAATGTTTTATAAATGAAGAAATAATTATGCAGTATCAATACCTTACTCCATATTCATGAGGTTATGATGATACGAGATGGAAGAATTGGTGTGTGTGTGGGAGTTCTGAAAGACTGAGGGGTACAGCTAAGAAAATAGAGAACATAGTCGGATACCAGTGGCTCGCACCTGTAATCCTAAACACTTAAGAGGCTGAGATCTGAGGATTGAGATTCAAAGCCAGTCCAGCAGGAAAATCTGAGAGACTGTTTTCCAATTGATCAGCAGGAGGGTAGAAGTGGAGCTGTGGATCAAATGGTGGAGTGTCAGCCTTGAGTGAAAAAGGCAAGTGAGAGATTGAGGCCCTGAGTTCAAGACCTACTACCAGCACAAGAGAAATGACAGAAAGAGAGAGGGGAGGGAAGGAGGGAGGGGGAGAGGAGAGCGGGGAGAGAAGGAGAGGAGGAGGAGAGGGGGAGAGGGAGAAAGGGGGAGAGGGGAAAGAAGGAAGGAAGGAAGGAAAGAAGGAAGGAAGGAAGGAAGGAAAGAAGGAAGGAAGGAAAAAGAAGGAAGGAAAAAATAAAAGATAAAAAAGAAGATGAATGGGGTGAAGGAGGGACCCAAAATTGGACGAAGAAGCCCAGTGGCTTCTCGTGAGATTACAGAAGAACATTGATCAGATCTTGCTGTGAATTCCAGTTATCATCTCTCTCTAAAGTGCTAAGTACTTACGTAAGTACTTACATTAGCAAGGTAGTGAGTACTTTTGTCGTCAAACTTGTAACCCCTTCCCCCATTTTCTCCCACTTTCCCTCCCTCCAACCCCCTGCGGTTGTACAGATCATTTCCAACATAGTGTCTTGTGAGTATCACTGTTGTATTTTCTCCCCCTTTGTCCTTTTTTCTCATAGTGGTGTGATGGCTTTGGGGCTGCGGTATTGAAAATTTCTTTCATTGAAACCATTCCCTTGTGGTGTGGAGCTGAGGAAGTGAAAGAGTGAAGTGCTCTGAGCAGGGCTGTTTCCCCCAGCCTTCTTTAACAGTGGATTTATAACATGCTTCTCTGTATAACATGCTGTCCTGTATCGGTCAGGAAGATATGCTAGTCATTGTCAGAGCTCTGTATTTATGAGAAAGCGAATGATGGCCGTACTCAGTCTTTTTTTTTAATTTTAATTTTTATTTTTTGTGAACATATTGTACAGAGGGGTTACAATTACATGGGCAAGATAATGAGTACATTTCTTATCAAGCATTGCAGCCTCCTCCTTTGTTTCCCCTTCACATTCCTTCCCAGCCTCCCTGCGCTCCCCCCCCACCCCCTGCACCAAAGTTGTAAAGTTCGTTTTTGACATGACAACTTGTACTTCTCATTGCTGCAATGGGTCCACCTGTATCCGTATTTAAATGACTTGTTTTTCCCCTTCTCCTCCACAAATTATACCAACATCAAATACAGTAAAAACAGGGGTTATACTGTGGGGGAGGGACATACAAAGCAACAAAGAAATAATCTTATAAATACATTAGAAACAAATGCATGAAAGAAAAAACATTTAAATACATATCTTAGGGTTCATTTTCCTAACTTCACCTTATCTACCTATTCTGCTTGACTCAGACATATACTAGATATTGAAAATAAGGGAAACCATGGACCTATGTTTCTTTGGGCTTGGCTTACTTCACTTAATATAATTTTTTCCAAGTCTTTCCATTTCCTAACAAATGGGGCAATGTCATTCCTTTGTGTATATATACCACATTTTCTTGATCCATTCATCTACTGAGGGGCATCTGGGTTGGTTCCATATCTTAGCTATGGTAAATAATGTTGCAATAAACACAGTCGTGCTGGTAGCTTTAGTGTGGTCTTGTTTGTAAACATTTGGGTAAATGCCCAAAAGTGGGATTGCTGGGTATAGGGGAGCTCTATGTGAAGTCTTTTGAGGAACCTCCATACTACTTTCCAAAGTGGTTGAACAAGTTTACACTCCCACCAACAATGAAGTAAGGTTCCCTTCTGTCCACATCCCCTCCAGCATCTGTTGTTATTAGAGTTCTTGATTTTTGCCATTCTAACTGGGGTGAGGGGAATCTCAATGTTGTTTTGATTTGCATTTCTTTTATGGCTAGGGAGGTTGAGCATTTCTTCTTTGTCTATTGGCCATCCTTCTTTCTTCTTCAGAGAAGTTTCTCTTTAAGTCTTTAGCCCACTTATTTATTGGGCAGTTGTTTCTTTGAGGATTTGTTGTTGCCCCCCAGCCTTCTTTAACAGTGGATTTATAACATGCTTCTCTGTATAACATGCTGTCCTGTATCAGTCAGGAAGATATGCTAATCATTGTCAGAGCTCTGTATTTATGAGAAAGTGAATGATGGCTGTACTCAGTCTTAAAGTAGCGACTTACTCTTTATCTGGCAAGTGTTAGGCACTTTCGTGTGTTATCTTCTTTATTCTGCACAACAAATCTACCAGCCAGGTTCTATTATTGCCGTCTTTACAAGTGGGAAGATGAAATCTGAAGGTATTTAGATCTGACCCATGTTTTTCACTGCTAGCCTTGTAACATCTGAGAAACTAAATTTTCTCTGACTCTTATGAATCTGGATGTTTGGAGTATTTTTATAGGCAGATATAGTTTAAGTTGGAAACTCAACAGAATAGTATCAGCGATGTTTTTATTTTCTTGGCTGTTTCTGTCACTTTAGAAGTACAGGTTCTTAACTGAATTTTCTCCTCACCTCCTTTGTCTGAGATCCAGTATTATAATATAGATGCTAAAAACATAGCCAGCTACTTTCTCTCTCCTTTATATCCTCATTCACTATGTCAATAGTGGATGTCATAGTATGGATGCCCATACTATGCCAGCTCCACAGTATGCCAAGCAGAAATGCATGTGAAACCTGCTAAAAGTCCCAAGTCAAGTGGAGGAGATGGAAAGTAAACAGTTGATGCTTAATGGAGGTGTGAGTGCTGGGAACACTGCGGGAAAGACCCAGGGCAGGAGGCTGGGGAGCAGAAAGATGAAGTGGTGTGCTGGCAGAGGAACTGGCAGCTGGTAGAGTTCCTTTGAGCATGAGCTCACTTCTCACTTCTCTTGGAGTTGAGTGTAAGTAGGTGACACACCTGCATTTGTATGTGTCACAGCACTGGCATCAGGAGGGGACAGATGTGAAAACCATGATGAACACCTGGACGCTGCAGAAGGGCTTTCCCTTGATCACCATCACTGTGAGAGGAAGGAATGTACACATGAAGCAAGAGCACTACATGAAAGGCTCTGACAGCACTCCAGAAACCGGGTAATGTTTACAGAATACAGCTCATTTTATCGTCTAGGTAACATTTGCCTGATGGGACTAAAAAAAATTTCTGAAATAGTATCTTTACTGATATCACCAGAAAGAGTGAGGGTATAAATCTGATTAAAATACTGTATATGCTAGAGTGAAATACCATGACCAAATACCTCTGAAGTAATTAACATACACTAAAAAAAAGGGAATGATAAAATCAATTACATTTGCATTTTCTCTGAAATTTACTTATATTCTCTATATTCCCAGAAAGATTAAGGAAGCTTTAAATCTTGACTCATTATTTTAACATTCTCATGCTTTGTAGTTTAATAGGATGTAATTTATAGTTACTAGCTTGGAATCATCCCTGATTTAAGTAATTGCTATTAAATTATAGAAGTACCTGGCATCTAGTTGGAGTTGACCAAAGAATTTTGGTGATTTTTGGGAATTATGACTGAGTTAGACTCTGGAGCTTTCATCTTTATGCACACTGGATAGCATTAGAGATGAGATTCTGTAACTTAATTGATCTTGGATGGACACTATGTAGAAATATTTATTTTTTTAAATGTTTTTTATTGTGAAAATACGATACAAGAAATACTTATTTTATCTAAAGGTAATTCCAGACTTATGAAAAGTAGCAAAATAGTGCCTTATCATTCTCTCTCTCTATAGAACATTGCATAATGAATACGTGTATATGAGAGAGAAAAGAGAGAGACACCATAGACAGATGCTCCTTTGCCTTTAAATATTTGTGTGGTATTTCCTTTATTTTTTTAAAGAGTATTGTCTTAAGCACAGTACAATGGTCAAAGTTAAGAAATGAACTTGACACAGTACTGTTATTTAATCTGTATGACCCCATTCAACCTTTTCCAGTTGTTTTAAAATATCTGTCTACAAAAACAAGAAAAAAATCTGCTTTCTGGATTTAATGTAGGATCATAGCATATTAGACTAAATATCACATAATTTTGACATTTTTCCCCTCCAAAGTGATGCCTAACTTGTGTGATTCATGATACTTTTTTTTGTCTTTTCTTTTTTAGTATTGGGAATTGAACCCAAGACGTTGCACTTGCTAGGCAAGTGCTTTGCCACTGAGCTACATCCCAGCTCTCCTGATACTTTTGAAAAAAATAGGCTAGTTGTTTTTTATTGTTTGAATGTGCTCCAACTTGTGCTTTTCCCTGTTTACTCAGGATAAAATTCAGCTTGTACATCTTGGGAGGAAGTCTGCAGAAGTGGCATGTGCCCTTGATGGAGGAGCCACATGATGCCAATCTGTGCCATTACTAGTAGTCACTGTTTAAAGTTTCGTTTCTGGCCTCCAATTACATGAACCCAAATTCTTAGCTTTCCTCAAGTAGTCCTTAAAGACTGTGTTTTTGAGATTTAGCCCCAAACAACCTTATACCATATTGTTTGAACATCCTTGATAACACACCTGGTACAAGAGAGGATATTTATTAGCTGTTTGTTGAATGAGCTAACAGCAATCCACCTTGGTTTTGTTTTGTTTTGTTTTTTTTCCTTTAGGTACCTATGGCATGTTCCATTGACATTCATTACTAGCAAATCAGACTCTGTGCAGAGATTTTTGCTGAAGACAGAGACAGGTAATTTATTGTAAAAATAACCAATTTAAGGAGGGAATATGGGTGTGTATAGGTTTTATTTATTTTTAACATTTACTTTATTGTTATTATGTGATATACTGAGGGATTACAATTCCATGAGTCAGGTAATGAATACATTTCCTTTCATACAGTATCTTCTGTTCCCTCTCTATCTCCTAGTTCCTCCCTCCAGTCTGTATAGTTTATTTTCATCATAGTGTCCAGTGAGCTCCAGTGTTGTACTTTTTGAACCTTTTCCCTTAAGTTCTGTGCCCTCCTCCTCCCTCTCCCAAAGATAGACATGTGAATAAACCATACATAAAGAAAACAAAATCACCAACAAAATAAAAAAATGAAAATTAAGTGAGCTCTTGTTTCTATTTCTTGGAGTTCAATTCAATATATTTGTTTGTGTGTGGGTATTATTTTATATAAATGTAAAAAGGCACATAAGAATTACACCTTTGTGTCTTCCCTAAGAGTGTCCTCTTTTGGTCTCACCGTGTGTGAGTTTCTAGAATTTATTTACTTTTTAAATTTATGTTTTGAATTCCCTTTTAGTTGTACAAAGGAGGTGCCATATAATGAAGCAGTTGATGAATACAATATATCTTAATCAATGTCACCCCTTCAACATTCTCACCCCTCTTCATCCCTCCTTCAAATCAAAAGGGAATAGGCTGAAAATACTGCATTGTTATTAATGGCCAACACAATACCAGAGATAATAAAATGGTCAAAAAATGTAATGCTAAACAAGGCAAGATTATCGATGGAAATGTTGATATTACTAGGGAATATTGTATGTATGGTCAGAGATGCATTTACATTCTTTTCATATATCTACAAACCTTCTAAAACTGGTGTGTAAAAGTGTAGCTTTTGTCTGTTGTGTTGCTATTGTCCAGTTACTAAAAGAAGTTATTTTAATTTGCTGAGTTTTAGTCTTCCATAGTTTCCTGGTCCAGTCCCTGATCAGAAAAGCTTTCACCAGCAAAGACAATAAATGGAGCTATGATTTATTTGCCTTAGATGTGCTCATCCTCCCAGAAGCAGTGGAATGGATCAAATTTAACGTGGGAATGAATGGGTATTACATTGTGCATTATGAGGATAATGGATGGGATTCTTTGGCTGGCCTTTTAAAAGGAACACACACAGCAATCGGCAGTAACGATCGGGCGAGTCTCATTAACAATGCATTTCAGCTTGTCAGGTAATATAAGCAAAGTTGTGGCTTGTTTCTGAAATCAGCTGCTGTTGTACAAATTCTTGACTTCTAAAGATGAAAGTGATTGACTGATTGATTACTAAGGAGATGTTAAAAGGTATTTTACCATTCAAAAGTTGCTATTAGCCTTGTTATTAACCTTCTGTCTTTGGATGCTAACCTACTTGAAGTCTGGAGTCTCTATTTTAATCTTTCTAATTAACAACTCAGATATTACAGAAGCAAACGTGTAGGAAAAAAACTCAGAAGACATCATAGTTGGCACCCCTTTTTTCTCTTTAAAGCCTGTTTTTCAGGTATTTTTCTGGCCACACTATAATAAATTCTCCCATGCTAGGTTTTTAACTATCTTGATGCCTTTGTAGAAAGACTAAGTAATCTAATTTTATTATATCACTTGTGTTAGAAGAGTTTCATTAAAAAAAAGGCAAAAAGAAAAGCAGAACTTGACACTATCTTCATGGAATCACTATAAAGTCTAGCTTATCATATCTGGGCCAACCAAAGGTCCTTTGAGTAGCTGAACATTTAACTTTTTTTTTAACCCCATTTCAAAGGTTTTTAAGTAAATGTTTCCTAAGCAAAAACTCGCAACTGAAGTTCTAGTTGAACAGAACTGAAGTCCTAAGGGGAAGCATTTATTTGGGACAAGACAGCGATATAATTCTTATATTCCATGTCCTTCCACCATGAATACTGAGTTCTTTTTTTTCTGTTCTTCTACCACTACCCTGGAACATACAAGGTGACCAAAAGCAATGGAAAGGAAGAGGAAGTTAAGGACTGCTTATTTAATTATTTTCTTCTTGTCAAAACATTTCCCCTCCATGACCTACTGCTGTTGGAAACATAGAAAGTTTTGTTTTAACTTACATAATTATAAACCCTACCACTGAGGCTTTTAATATCAACTCTCTCTGTGAAGGGGTTTTATGTATATTGGGGGGCTTTTTGAAGCAGAGAATACTTTTTTTACTACAGTGATGTACTTCTGATGAATGGCAGTCAGTCTGAGCAGGCTTCCTGAAGGATCTTTGATCAAAATCCTCTTCTTTTTCTCGTTTTTGTGCACAACCCAATGTATCCTAGAGATATGACACACTGTTTCCCCTGAATCACAGATGGCATTCACTCCCTTATTATTTGAGATATGTCTTCAATAGTGTAGACTTGATAGACATGTCTAACAGAAAAGGCTCAATGCAAAGGACACTATTTATAAGGGACATTTTTATCTTGTTGAGTGCATTGTGGATGACTATTACAATTACGTTGAAGCAAAAGGTTCATTTCCTTAAATGTGTCACCATGGTATGTCTTACTCAGCATTGGAAAGCTATCGATTGAAAAGGCCTTGGATTTAACCTTGTACTTGAAGTATGAAACAGAAATTATGCCTGTGTTCCAAGGTTTGAATGAGCTGATACCTATGTATAAGTTAATGGAGAAAAGAGATATGAATGAAGTGGAAATGCAATTCAAGGTAAAAGCATGAGAAATCATTATACAACTGTTGCTTTTCTTGCATGTGAAAATGAACGCTTATAGCTATGTATATATGTCTTCATAACTATTAAAGAAAAGAAATAATTCATTATTAAATTGATTAACAAAGGTTTTGGTTTTATTTGGCACTAAAATAAGAATGACAAGGTTATATTCTGTACTTATCATGGATTTGTTATTCCCTTCCTTTCACCAATCTTTTATTTCATTTGATTTCTCTATTATGATGACTAGTATTAAAATGTTTTTTCCTGGGACTCTGTGGCATTTGAGAAGATACAAAAAGCTTATTTTTGACAAACATGCAGTTAGTTGCATAATTTGCTCACAAATTTAGTCATATAAATTGTCTTTTTGAGTTTAAGGTCTCTTCAGACAGAATTGTTAGGCAAATACGAAAATCATTTATCATTTCTTATATTTAGTCCTCATATAACTAAACAGCTGCAAGGTTTAGAATGAGTTGATTTAAGCTAGGTGCTGGATGGTCACACCTGTAGTCTTAGCTACTCAGAGGGCAGAGAGCTAAGGATCACAGTTCAAAGCCAGCCTGGGGAAGGAAAGTGTCTTAGACTCTTACAATTAACCACCAGAAAACTAGAAGTGGAGCTGTGGTTCTAAGTGGTAGAACACTAACCTTTAGCAAACCAGGTCTGGCCCAGGCCCTGAGGTTAAGCCCCACAACCAACAACAACAAAAAATAGCTTAAAAATTAATTGGCATCATGGGAAGGAATACCAGATCTATGACAATACTTGTGACACATGTCATTGTTCCCGGTGCTACACTCCAGGCCTTCCTCCTCAGGCTGCTGAGGGACCTCATTGATAAGCAGATCTGGGCAGATGAGGGCTCTGTCTCAGAGAGAATGCTTCGGAGTCAGCTCCTCCTCCTCGCCTGCGTGCGCAAGTATCAACCCTGTGTGCACAGGGCAGAAGGCTATTTCAGAAAGTGGAAGGAATCTAATGGAAATATGAGGTCAGTCTTCAGTGCTACCTTCTGTTTCCCATTATTGGAAAAATAAGTATATGAGCATCTCTTTTATCAGATATTTTCTTTTTCCTTTAGAGTTATCTATGTATTTCTTATCTTAAGAACTTCTAGACAATATAGGTGTAAACTTAAGGAATTGGAATAGGATTATAATAATCTCCATTTTTTATAGTCAATGCTCAATTAAATTTAACTGAGCTGTTCATTGCCAGAGTGCATTTTACAAGTATCTGTTTTAGTCTTTCAAAGATACACCGAAAGGACATTCTAGTAATTGCTAACACCTTAAATAAGTCTATACCTGCTGGCCCTTAATCCTTTTATATTTGGAGTTTAAATAAAATCCAGTAAACACTATGCCAACCATCTAGATGCTTCCAGTTATGAAATGCTGTGATCCTATTGGAGTTCTGACCTGTGTCAGGACTTGCATGGAGTAATTTTGAATCTTGTCTGACTTTCTTTTGGCCTGAAAGTTGGCACTTGTGGAATCACTCAGCATTATTAAAAATATAGTTGATATATATTTGTAAGTTGATATGTAGGTATTTATAAAGTATCAGGCATTATGTTTCTGAGAAAGGCTACTTGAAAATTAATTTTTATTAACAAATGTAACAAAAATAGAGCTGATAGTTTTTGTTGATATTTCTAGGCCTGTGTCACTGATCATACAGTTGGTTCCTAATATCTCACCATCACGCATCTCAGAGCACTGTCTCCATCGCAGATTCATTGTCAGTAGTATGTTCTTTCCCCACAGCCTGCCTGTTGATGTGACCCTGGCAGTGTTTGCTGTTGGTGCACAGAACACTGAAGGCTGGGACTTTCTTTATAATAAATACCAGTCTTCTTTGTCCAGTACTGAGAAAAGCCAGATTGAATTTGCCCTCTGTACGAGCCAAAACAGGGAAAAGCTCCAGTGGTGAGTCACTCATTCATGTTGATGTGGCCAAGGGAAACCATGAAATCAGATCATTCTGGCACCTTTTTTGGTCAGGAATTGCTTATTGTAGTGTGAATATTTGTTCAGTGGGTACACAACTCATTGAGAATTGCAGATAACTAAGGAGATCCGGGTGCTAAGGGAGTACATATTTGTGTATATTTAAAGGAATGCTATAATTGAAATATTTACTGGAGATATTGTTCTTAACTATTCTTTTGGGAAAATGAGATAGGGGAATAGGTATGATAAACATAGTGGAAAGGTTAATTTTTATTATGATAGTTATAGGGGGGTTAGCTGTACTCTGATTCCCAATTTATATTTTTGGCCTTCATTATTGGCAAACTTTCTTTTAATCTTGTGGGATATTTTACTGCAATTTTTTATACCTTTCATCACCTATTCATTGTTGACATTTCTTTTCTTAATCATTACAGGCTATTAGATGAAAGTTTTAAGGGGGATGTAATAAAAACTCAAGAATTTCCACATATTCTTACCCTCATTGGCAGAAACTCAGTGGGCTATCCATTGGCCTGGCAGTTTCTGAGAGAAAATTGGAATGAACTAGTTCAAAAGTAAGTAGAATCAAAATTGTTCCAGGCCTGGATAACCGTGTTGTTTTGCTTTGCTGTGTGTGTGTGTGTGTACGTGCGCGTGCGCTTGCGTGAGCGTGCATGCGCATGCGTGTGCCTGTGCACACAGTAATAGAGAGTGAACTCAGAGCCTCATGCTCTCTCACTTGGCTTTTTAGTTAAGGAATAAAGATACCTTAAATGCCCTTATTAGAGAATTCAATGCTCGGTACTGTATCTGGATATCTTCCCTTAGAAAGACCCTTCCCGTAGCCATGGGCTGGTGGAAGACTTTCACATTCCCAGCCTAGCCCTGCTCACTCATCAATCCTCTTGCTGTTTGTATCTGCCTGTGTCTAACTCCAGAAGTATTGCCTACACTACCATTTCTTTTGGATTCTTAATGGCTTATTCAGCTGTTATCATGTACTTTATGTTACTAGCTCTATAGTGGAGAGATCCCATCTTTTTCATGCCTGATAAGAGTTAAATGACATTACATACAGGAGGCACTTTAGATATATTTTGAATGAATAAAGTTAGATTTTGATGATTTCCATTTCTAGGTTTGAACTTGGCTCATCTTCCCTAGCCCACATGGTGTTGGGAACAACAAATCAATTCTCCACCAGAACTCGTCTTGAAGAGGTAAAAAAAAAAAATCCCTAAAAAAGAAATTATTTTAGATTTAAGTAACAAGTTATTAGATATGAGCAAGAAAAACAAGGGTTTGAAGTGGATTTTGGTTATTTTGAAGCTATTTATGGATGCCATGATGTTGACATAAACACAAATCAGCTGCAAATAAACTAGTAGAAACTGTGTCTCTTCTCAAACATGTTGATTTTTCCCATCTGACACTAAAAACTTTAGGACTAATAAATCACCTGAGATCATTAGTCCTTCTGTAAGAGTATTAAAAGTGAGCAGAGGGAAGGTAAATAACCTTCCCAGCTCTTGTCAAAGAGGCAGATCTGGACTCTAGTTTTACTTCATTATCCAAATTCCATGATTTCCTTTTCATCAATATACCATGAAGGCATCTAAACTAGTGTTTGTTTAGGCATATAAACTAGTGTTAAAATAAAGATGAAAGGCTGCATAGTGGACAGCAGATAAACCACATGCAGGACTTGCACTGAATAAAATTATTGCAATGATGTCCTACATTTATCACAGCTTCCTAGCAGTCAAGCAAACATGAGAAGTTAGTATGGGTTACTCGCATTGTCTGATAAGAGGGACATGAAGCACACAAGTATCCTACAACAGAAAACTTGCCTCCAAACATAAAATCCTTATTGCAAAGAAAAGGCTCACAGACAGGCAGGTCTGAACAAATACTCTATTGAGATGCTTCATTTCTGAGGCAGAGGAAGACAGACAAAACAGGTTTGGGTGAGGGAACGTTTACAGCTGACTCCGAGACTCTATGGTTAGAGGCCTTTAATGATGCTATAATGATAGGCTCCTTCCGATGAAGTATTTTAACCAATTAATGAAATGGTTGATGTGGTTCGACTGTTGGAAAATGCCTATGGTGATTTTTAATTGAGAAATTAATATTGGGCTCTGGAATAGAAAACAATGAGGGAGCTGCAGTACAAGGCGGGTTGGTAGAGCAAGAGATGTTTTCTAGGTAGGTTGTTTCAGTAACTCCTGAGCATTGTACTGAGAGATGATATTAAAACAACTCTGTGTCATGTAGATTGCAATTTGATCTTTCTGAAATCTATTCTTATCCTCACCCCACCCCCACTCCCAAACTCATAAAATGGTATTACGGGGTGGACTGTAAGGGAATTAGCCGTTTGTAATCCCATGCTGAATAAACAACACAACTTGGCCTCCACTGGCTTCCGGACCACAAAACAAAAATGATGGATTAATGTTGTGGAAATTTATGGGGAAAGGCTAACAACGCTTTACTGTGAAACAAAAACAGCATCATGTTCAGTGCCATGACACCACTGGTATATTTACCATCTGAACTTAAGGGGCTCAGATACCCAGAGAGGAAACAAGAACAAAAATTTTGTGGGGCAAGGGGAGCCAGAGCCAAGAGTTTCTTATCTCTTTAAAACTATAGGTAACTTTCTGCAGATTTACTTTGTGGGAACAATCTAGGAATTGTAGATTAGGATAAAAACATTGGCAAAATTTGGGGTCTTACCACCATAATTTACTAAGAACTCCATTCCCTGCAGGGTTTCTGTAATAATGTACAAGGCCAGGCCTGTGGAAAAGACTTTATTTATGTGGTTGAAAGTGTTTTGCTTGGCAACAAAGATACTCTGTACATTCTGCTTGCTAACTATCATGTTTTAAGAACTTAAGATTGCATCTGTGTGTATAGAACAAAATTCACATTAAATAGACACACTCAATTAAACCTTAATTATAAAATGGTGAACAGGGAAGCCTTTAAAAGCCTGGCAACTGTGAATAAATAAAAGAGCTACGGAGAAGAAACCCCAAAAACTGACATCATGAGGCATGAGCTCATTTCAAACAGCTAACGCTTAAGTGACCATAATCACATCCAGATACCCAGGGCTGTTTTCTACATACATTTGTGACAAATGCTGAATTCTGGTTTCAGTTTCCTTTTAACTGGCTTGAAGTTCTTTTTGCTTCATGGAAACAAAATTAAGACAATTTCATTTTGCTTTCCTAACAAGGTAAAAGAATTCTTCAGCTCTTTGAAAGAAAATGGTTCTCAGCTCCGTTGTGTTCAACAAACAGTTGAAACCATCGAAGAAAATATACGCTGGATGGACAAGAATTTTGATAAAATAAGAGTATGGCTGCAAAGTGAAAAGCTTGAACGGTTGTAGTAATCTGTTTCTTGCCAAGTTCCTGTCATCTATAATCACCAAAGTGTTATTTAATGTGAACATTTAATAGACTGGATATATTTTCAAGCTGGCGATGGTTATTTTTGGCTTTCTGGTGATACTTTTCAACTCTACTCATTTGAACATTTCTGGATGATTTAGGAATTTCTAAAGTTTTTAAAATTCATTTTGTTGGAGATTGAACTATATATAATCTTACATACACCTAACCCTTTCATCATTTCTGAGAGAAGACTGCATGCTAATTGATGTAGCTCCATGTTAAACAGTACTGCCCTGAACTGTAAATCCTTTGCTACAGAATAATAAAGTTCCTCACTCTATTTTATGCTTAACCCCTACAATGTCCACATTCCTTTTCTGACAATGTCCCCTGGTAAGAGGTTGAATAGTAGAGTACTGAGAAAGGAACTCTGGATCAATAACTAAGCTGGAACATGGCTGGGCAAGAGCTCTTTTGCTTATCTCTTTAGGTCTGTATTTACCTTCTCTTCCTGGATTCATGCCATCACCTTTTCTTACCCTCTGGATTTTGGTTCACAGCCCCGGGAGTTCAGAGCTGTGGTTGAAGGAGGGGGTATGTATGACTATATATTTCCTTGCTTCTTTGCAGGATGATTTATATTGGGCTCTAAGGTCTTAGCTTCAGAGAAGCAACTATCTTTTCCACAGAGTCTTCTCCATCTCTGGGGTAGGTTGAGTACTAGGTTAAGTACTTCCTTCTCTCATCCCTACAGGACTAAAAGCAACAGGACTAGGAGCCCCACAGACTAGAAGCCTGGTAGTACTCAGGGTTGAAATACATCTGGTCCAGCTCCTTTATTTAAAAGTCCTTGCATAGAACTATTCTCAGGGATCCTAACAGCCTCATTGGCATTCAGGTCTATGGAGGACGTGCCATCCATTAAAGTTGTGATGGAAAGCTGTTGATCCTTAAGTAGGGAGGCAATGTTTACTCTCTGCTAATTAAGCCTAGTTTTTAATTGCTAAGTAACTCAATCTTGGCATTTGTTGACAATAAATCATTTCAGAGCCACCAACAAATGATGATATACCGAGAAATTGAAAATACTTGCTTATATTAGACTAAGTGAAGGCTGTGCAGTCTTTTGTTTGAATTGATGTCATACACAAGAGTATATGGTGATGTTAGGCGAAATAAACCCTAAGATAAAGATTCAAATGGTTTTTTTTTTCTTTCTTGCGATTGTTTCTAGATGATTTCTTTGTTGCTTTGTATGTCCCTCCCCCATGGTATAACCCCTGCTTTCACTGTATTTGATGTTGGCATAATTTGTGGGGGGAGAAGGGAAAAAACAAATTGTTTAAATAGGGATACAGGTGGACCCATTACAACAATGAGATGTATAAGACATTATGTTGAAAAACGAACTTTACAACTTTGGCTGGGGTGGGGGCGGGGGTGGGAGGGCAGAGTGAAAGGGATCGGAAGGGGAAACAAAAGAGGAAGCAACAATGCTTGATAAGAAATGAACTCATTATCTTGCCCATGTAATTGTAACCCCTCTGTACAGTATTTTCACAATAAAAAATAAAACAAGAGTAGGTGGCATCATTTCAAGATAAGGAACATGATTTAATGTGAAGGATGTCAAAATGCATGGTTCTCAAAAACAACACAAGAGTTTGACATTTCAGAGACATAAATGTGTCACCTTTTCTTTGCTGTGACAAAACACCTGGGAAAAGCCAAGATTTATTCTGGCTCTAGGTTTTAGACGTATTGGTCCATGGAAAGTGGTGCCATTGTTCTGGGCTGGGGACACTGCAGGAACAGGTGATGCAGGTAGGAGGTTACTTATCGCATGGCAGCTGGGAAGGAGAGAAAGAGCCAGAGAAGAAGGATCCCAGGACAAGATGTACCCTTGAAAATCACATCCCTACCCCCTTCCTCCCATTCAGTGATGAAGTCATCAATTGGCTAATCCATTGATAAAATTAGTGCTTCATGATTCAGCCTCTTAATTCGGCCAACAGCTAGGGACTGAGTCTTCAACACATGCACCTTTTGGGTATGCAAGGGTACTTTATTATTGAAACCACAACAAATGTGATTATAGTTCTATTTTTACACCTATGTATGGTTGAAGGTTTAAAAATTAAATACAGAAACAAATTACTGGGGAATTCTTCCCCAGGCTACTTTGCTTCTAAGAAAAAAAATACACAACCAAGACTTTAGTGTAAAATATTTTAATTGTATTTATATCAGTGAAACAGAGATAGCAATTTTTAATTTTGGTCATCTAGCTTCAATATTGTTTGAAAAGCCAATTTGTTAGACAATATTACAAGGTGCAGAATAAACATTGTAATAAATGTGTGTTCTTTACTTCTAAGTGGATACTTGCAATTATTTTCTCCTGACCTGATTTAAAAATAATAATAGGGTTGCTTTAAATCCTGTAGCTTACTCAACTCATTTTGAGTTACTCGCAAACATTCAACCTTAAGAGATATTTCTAATAAAAAAGAAGGCATATTCTGAATATCTTAAATGTATGTTTACCTCATTAAATCTCTGGATTTTGGTGTGTAGTTAAAAAAATACTTAGATATTTGCATGGAAATTACTATTGCAGCCATACCTTTACAAACACATCTGTCAATGTCTATGGTTTCACACCTTTTAAAAACAAAATGAAAAGGAACCAAATAACTGGACTGTCCAAATGGGAAGATTAAATACATACTTAAAATTCTTCCAGAAAGGTGAGGTTTTTTTTTTGTTGTTGTTGTTAGTACCTTCAAAATAGAATGATTGCCTCTTCAATGGAATAGGGGCTTAGCCTTGTATCTATGTATAATTTGAAATCCAATTGGTATGTGCCTAATTTGTAATTTGTAGTGAGAATTTTAGAGAAAATTAACAAAATTTGATGCTCATTATAAGTAATAGTATTTTTTCTTACCTTTCCCCCCACTAGACAGTATTGCTTACATTACTATGTCTAGTGAAGTTAGTTAAGTCCTAAGAAAAGCTTTATATTGATGCTAAGTAAGGCTTACTTTCTGAAAAGAAGAAATTACATATCTGTCTATGATATGTACCTAGCATCTTTTCCCACATTCATACTCTGGAAATAAAGATGAAATTATTTCTCACAATTCCACATTCCATTATCAGTGCAATGTTTGTAACTATTTATACAGAAAGATCTGAGAATCCATTCAAAGTTGTCAGATACCAAAGCTCAGTTCTGAAACTGCTGAGAGGGAAAAGCACTTTAAATTTCAGCATATACACATATACATACATACATATATATTTTATCTTTAAAGCAGAAGTTAGTTTTTATATTTGATAAACTTAACTTCTGTAAAGCCAGATGCATACAGCTTAAAGGCAAGTGTGACAAATGGCTCTATGTGAAAACTGCTGTCTAGGATTTATGGAGTAAGAACAGAAACCACAGTTTAAAAACATAGTAAACCAAGTTCAAGCCATATGAATACTCTCAGAATTAAAATTTCTTATTCTTGAGACTTGCTATCCAGTGCTTTTGCTAGCCTGTATTTTGCTGTTCTGACTTAATTGAAGTCAATTTTTCATCTGACTCTATGGTACAAAAGTCTCACCCCTGGCAAAGAAAAACTCTAACGAAAAATGGAGACTGGTGTTTTCTGTTCTTCTGTTTTTTCCACATTATTATTAATTTATTATTAGCAGCCCAAGTGAAGATATATGCCCAATATACAATACTTTAGGGTTGACTTACGAACATTAACCCAAAGAAACATCAAATATAGCTCAAAAACTCAGGAAGAAAGGGAATATAAGGAATCTGAGCACTGACAAATATTTAAAGCATTATTTTCCAAATGCTAAAAAAAATGCTGTGTAAACTGAAAATACTAATGAGATTTAACAGGCACTGTGTGTAAAATGTGCAAAAGTTTGCAAAGTTTTCTTTCTAGTTTTAAATTTTTCTTTTGGTGGTGCTTTAAGAAACTTTATCAAATATACTTCTCTAACAAATATAAAGCTTCCTTTCTCTCCTAACTAAAGGCAATTTGTAAAAAATTCAAAGTTTACCAACAATCAATAACACAGGTGAAACAGACAAATTCATTTTCTTTCTGGAAAAGAATAACAAATCAATGCGTACGATGTCAAAAGGCTTAAGAAAGACCACCATCAAGAAGCCACCCAGAAAATTTGTCTATTGCTGAAATCCTTTGTTCTTCAAAGTCACCATCCACCAGGTGAAGGTTTTATATGCAGATACCTTAAAAATTTCAAATAAAAAAATTCAGTGAACCATTGGTTAGAGGATTTTCATGTGACAGTACATAAAATTTGGTACCTAGCAACTGATAAGGATTTTCTGTGAGGAAGTATGGGAGTGGTATACAAACAGAAGTTTTTCATTAAATTCTAGAAAAAAATTGTTTTGAGAAATTCTAATCAGAACACCTCCTTTATATGAAATAAAAATGAGCCACAGGAATACTGAATGTGACTTAGCCCACATTTTGATTACTTTCAGGCTTTGGTCAGTAAGTATTTTTATGCTATTATGGCTAAGAATAAAAGCTCTCCTCTGAAGATTTACATAAGAATCATTTCTTAGTGTAGGTCTGAGAGATTCAGTCACTTATTGGAATTTTTTTCAGTCACCATCACTTGGAATCAAGTATGTAATATTTTACTTCCCAGAACTAAGATATATGAGTGGTCAAGAGTTGGGGGGAGGAAGGAGTTGGGGAGATGGGAAGGGGAGGGATAGTAGGAGAAAAACAAAGGAGGGGTGACAATGCTCAATAGGAAATGTACTCATTACCTTACTCATGTAACTGTAACCCCTCTGTACAGTATCTTTACAAAAAAAATTATTAAAAATTGTTCCTTTCCAAGAGACTTCAGAGAGGGTCTTTTCTTTCCACATCCCCCCCCCACCAAACATTGGTATTTGGGGTAGTATCAATTAAGGGCATTTTACAAGTTGGAACATGTTAAAATTTGCTTTACCACAATAATCTGTGGTCAAACCCATCTGAACTTCAAAGGTTCAACTAGCTTCAGATGGTCATTTTCTTTTTTCTTTTCTTGTCTTTTTCCTTTTTTTTCCTTTTTTGCCAGTACCTGGATTTGAATTCAGGGCCTTTTGGTCTTGCTTGGCTTGCTTGCTCATGGCTGATATTCGATCACTTGAGCCACATCTCTAAGTACGGCTTTCTTGCTGATTATTTTGGAGACACAGTCTCAAAGATATTCTGCCTGGACTGACTTAGAATTGCAAACCTCCAAGTCTACTGAGTAGCTATGATTACAGGATATACCACCAGTAAACTGCTCAGATGGTCATTTTCTTTAAAGAGTCTGGCCTAATATTTTAATAGGCTCTGAATCAGAAGATTAATGTTTTTAAGCATGCCAGGAGCACAATCATCCTATTTAATGCATTTCTGTTAATGACCTAAATATTGTCTTTCCAATGTGCACTTCATAATAATAGTATAAAGAAAGAATGAAATATAAATCAGGTGCCCTTCATTTTTTCCCATAACATGGATAACAGAAAGTACAGTTTTCTTTGTTTACAATATAACACTGAACTTACCAAATTGTAAATTTTAGCTTGTTTTTCCTTCACCATCTGGCTTGGAAACTTCCTTTGTTCTCTACAAGGGAACACAAAAAGCCATCAGTGAGCTCTTTGTTTTCTGGAAAAAATGTTAAAGAACTGACCTAGGAGGGAAGGTTTATGAGGAAATGAGATCCTCAGAATTAAAGGCACCGAAAATGGCAGTCAATGGGAGAAAATAAAATGATCCTTCCTAAGTTTCTCTTCTTCATTTACACAAAAGCTGTTTTCTTCCTCCTTGAGTTCCTAAGCTATCGATAACTTTTAAGTTACCCTAAATTTCTTATTCTCAACTTATTTTTGTAAAAAAAATCAAAAGGCCCCTGTAGGCTAAATATTGGAAAAAATGCACAGATATTTGTAGATGGCAGTGTTTCAATATTCTATAATGATTTGTCTTTTTTTCCCTGTAGTTGGGGGGCCTGTCCAGCCATGTAATAGACTTATTACACTGTAATTGCTATCTTCTGTTTCTTTGTTAAGGGGTTGATCAGTTACTTTGTATAACTCAATTAAATAACAAGCAATTTAATCTATTTAAAATATGTCATGAGTAACTCAATTATCAATTCTGTTTTTGCAACCTTTGGGAATCAATTGCAAAAAGACTCAATGATATTGTTCTGAACAGGTTTGACACACCTACATGATAGTGTCTTTTTGTGGTTCATTTCTCATTACCATCAGAAAATGGCAATTAGAATCATTTTGTCCACATACTTTGGTCATTTTAAGGGAAATAAAAACTGTCTAATCAGACCACAGCTTGAGTAATTTTTAACAATCAGAAGCTCCAAATTGTGGTATTACATTAATGCCCAAGTCTAAGACTTAAACTGAATCCCATACCTTCACATTTCTTAGTGTCCACTGTACTTTGTAGAGGAACATAAAAATTATATACTGCTACATTGTGGACACTGAATGACTCCCCAAAAACATGGGGAACAAGGCTTGGTCCCAAGGATGGCACTCCTCTAGGAGCTGGAGCATTATGGGGGTGTCATTAGACCATTGAGAATGTACGCTCAAAGTCAATCATGGTACCCCATTCTCTTATTCTTTATTTCCTGGTCCAAAAGGTAAGCAGTTTGTTCCACCAAGCACTACCATCACAATGTGCTACCCAAAGCAATATAGCCAGTCAGTCATGGGCTGGATTGTCAAAAACTACAGATGGACCCAAAGAAACATTTCCTCTCTATAAATTAAATGCCTCAAGTATTTTATAGTAGTGGCAAAAACCTGACTAACACATGAATTAATAGTTCATTATTTATGAATCTGCCTTGCTGGTGAACATATTGAACTATAAAATCTCTAACATCTTCCCCGATTTCATACACTCACTCCCATGCTTAATGTACTCAGTTTCAGAAAAGGGGCAAGAAACATAGGCAACTCGAGTTAATAAATGTTTTTAACATAAAAACATGAAACTTTTTAACATTTTTAAACCCACAGTTACTTAGAAAACACAGACACACACACACCTTTAAAATTTCAGCTTAGCTAGGCATGCTTAAAATCTTTCTAACTAGTCGGCAACTAAAAAATAAACTATGCTCATAAAATTGTTAAATTAATTTTAATATTGGCTGCCCCATGGTTACCTGTGTAGAATCCTTTGCTTTGCCTCCATTCTTAGGAGTTTTGGAACTGGAGGCGGTCTTCTTGGTCTTATCCTAAAGCAAAGAAAAAGTTGTGAGGCTACTGGATTACCGTCCACTCAACAATTAAATACTGGCTGTAATCAAATGAACCCAGCCTACACTTTCTAGTAGTTTGTAGATCACCAGTAACAGTGGATGCTGTTGTCATGATTTTCGTAAGCAACAGTACCCAGTAGTGCTTAAAAGTTAAAAGTGCTTAAGAGTTAAAAAGATAAAAGAATGCAATTGATTTCACACAAACCTTACCGTCACCAAAACAGAACTTGTTATCAAAAAGACAAAAAATAACAAGTGCTGGAAAATATGCAAGAAATAGAATCCTAGTCCATTGTTGGTGAGAATGTATACTTCTACAACTATTATGGTTTACAATAGCCAACATGTAGAAAGAAATTAAATATCCTTGGATGAATAAATGGATAGAGTAAATGTAGTACTATTCAGCCTTATAAGGAGATATTGCCACATGCCACAAGAGAGGTATATTTTAAGGATGTCATGCTAAATGAAATAGGCTAGACACAGGATCTTTGTCCTATACACAGAGACCAAGAATAAAAAAAAAACATTATTATGGACAGAATAGGGGAGATTGGGGGAGGAAAGGTATATCAATGGATACAATAGCCAATAAGTGGATGAACAAGTTTAAAGATCTATTGTATATTACGAAGATTCAAGTTAGTAAAATTATATTGTACTAGAGACTTTTGTTAAGTACTGTATGTATCCCCCAAAGCTTTGCATTATGAACTTTATACACAAAAATTTTGAAAATCAACTTTAAAAAATAAGTTCAGAGAGCAGGAATGGGTTACATGGGGAAATGAAGTCCATTAGCTAAAGAAGGTCTTAATTAGCTATATACATACAGGAATCAGTAGTAGGAAGCTGAAGTGGTCTAGAAGAAGTTCAGTCCGTCATCTAATATGGGCAACTCAATAACTGGGGCTAAGCTTAACAGCTGACACAATAGCAAAGTAGATCTGCCAATTCATTCTTCTGGTTGCATATTTCCTTCTACTTGGTTTATGAGAGGGCATGGCTTGTAGGTAAAATACCCCACACTTGTTGAATTATGTATTATTGATTCTTTCTGAATCACATGTTTTGAGCACCTTCTAAGATTCAAGTGTTTGTTTTGGCTAACACAGAAGTCAAGACCCGTGTGTAACACAGATTGATGCTCATAACACACCTAACAGACAGGTAAGCTGAGTGTAGAGAAAGCCTGGGGAAGAGGCCAGGTGGCGTAAGGTGAAAGAAGAATTGATGGTTAGGCTGAGCCCTGCTGGAAAGGAGTAACCAGCTAGACGAGAGGAAAATAGAAGGAAACTCCAGAAAGTGACAGGAAAGGTCTAGGGAATTAGGGACTCTCTCATTTAAATGAATACAACATGACAATCAATTAACCATGGCTTTGGAAAATTCAAAGCAATATGGAAAATACTGATAAAGTCATGTTAAACCGTGTATTATGGACTAAGTGTAACTTTAGAGAACATACAGAGAAAGAACAAGTTAAGTATGAAAATAATGTTTAGGGAGTTTTAGAATTTTTTTCCTTTACTTTTTTTTAGGTTCTCTGTAGCATCATTGATTCTACAGTTTAAAATTTATATATATATATATATATATGTATATACAGACACACGCATATACACATTACAAAGAAAAGTCAATGGAGAAGATGTAGTACCTTTGCTGTGTTCTGTGAGGTTTCTGGAGTTGGACAGCTGTCCAGGTCTCCTGAGAGGGCATCAATGGGGTCTTGGTTGTCTTCAGGTTTCTGGGATATTAATAGATATAACCCACAGTGAGAAACACAAGGCAAAATACAGTTTGGGGCATTACCCCACATCACTGAAAAGTAAAAGGTATTTATGAGAATAGATACTTTTTCCCCTAACAATAATATAGTGTAGAGAAAGGGGTAAGCCATGAAAATTTGATACTGTATGATTTTCTTCTAGTCTTTAACACAAGTTTGCTTACCTAGAAAACAGTCCTATCTATCTCATACAGGGTTTTTGTGAGGAATAGATAAGAGATATGTAAGAGATAAATAGTACATACAAATTCTTATTGCATATTTTAAAATACAAAAAAGCATGAGGCAGGCATTCAACAAATTTTACTTTCTTAAAATGTAAAATAGCTGGGTGCCGGTGGCTCATGCCTGTAATCCTAGCCATTCAAGAGGCTGAGATGTGAGGATAGTGGTTTAAAGCCAGTCTGGGCAGGAAAGTCCATGAGACCCTTATCTCTAATAAACCACTAGAAAACCGGAAGTGGCGCTGTGGCTCAAGCGGTAGAGCACTCGCCTTGAGCTGAAGAGCATAGGGACAGTGCCTAAGCCCAGAGTTCAAGCCCCACGACCAACAAAACAAACAAAAAGAAACTATAGCTAGAATTAAAAATTAATTGAAACCACTACTATGGTATTTACCTTTGATTTCTTTGTAGCTGGGCTGGCTGGTTTGTCCTTAAAAAACACAAGGGAGATTATTTGTTAAATGTAGATCTTCAAAAAGATTTACTTAGGTGTAGTAAGTATTTAAAGAATCTACCCTCTAATGATTTAACTTTCAAAAGATGAAGTGGGCATAACTCTCGTAAACCTGCATCCCAACCATTTCTCTAAGATTTTCTTCACCCTTTTTCTGTAGCTTTGAGGGAACTAGAAGAGCCTAATCCTGGAAGGGACACATATACTATTTAGGAACTTGATGCCATCTGGTGTCATAATTATATCATTTTTAAATGGTACAAAAATGACTTGTGTTTACATCTCAAGTCTTATTAAAGCTTACTATACTTTGTTCGGATTCGAAGAGTATTTTCTTTTTTTTTTCCTTCTCGAAGAGTATTTTCAAACACAACTGTACATATGACTAACTCAATAGGAATTTCCCCATCTTCAAAGGCATGAACATTAAATAATACATTCCCCCATTGACACGGCATTATCAAAGCAGGGAGGAGTCTCAAGGGATGCAGAATTGCCTTCTCCAGGCAACTTTAGCATAAGCAAGGAGAATCGATTCCTTAACAATAGTCTGCCTGCATTGAAGCAGGCAGCTCTATTTCAGGCAGGGGTGTCTTCTCCTCAAAAACAGTACAGGAAAAGGATGTAATTTAGTTTTCCTTGTTTTATCTGATGAGAGGGGAGAGGGAGAAAAACAGACCAAGTCCACATAAGAAAAGCTGTATACAGCTATGTTAGAGACAGAAAGCTAGGGACTTCTTGAAGCAAAGCAGGGCTCATGACTGTGAACACTGTTTTGCCTGTCCTCAAGCACAACAGTGCTGACTGAGATGGTGCAGAAGACAGGAACAGCAACCAGGTCATGGAGTTAATATTTATGTTAATCTGTCCTACGTTCCAATACTGTTCCTCCTCTGTTTTCCTTAATAGAGACTGCTTCCTTAGAAATTCCATTAGAAATTGACCATTTCGGGGGAGGGAGGATGCAATACTGGGGTTTGAACTCAGAATCTTCTGCCCCTTTAGCCACACCTTTGGCTCTTTTTGCTTGTTTATTTTTACATACATATTTTTATATATCCTTCCCCCAGGGCCAGCTTGGACTGAGAATTCACAGCCTTTCGTGTTGCTAGGACCGCAGGTACACAACAGCACATCTAGCTTACTGATTGAGATGGGATCTTGCTATTTTGTCTGGGCTGGCCTCAAACCATGACCCTCCTCCTAACCTCTGACCCCCCCAAGTTAGCTGGGATCACAGGCATGAAACCTATAATACCCAACCTGCATTGGTTACTTTTATAGTGCTTTCTTGAAAGAAATTTTAAAAACCTATTTGTACATCTCTTGGAATGACTATTAAGACCAGAGAGTGAAAGAACATTATTCAACTCATTTATACCCTAGGGCCCCCACCTATGAATCTCTAATGAATTGACTTAAATATTAACACACTTCTAATTTTCTTGTTACTTCTGGAGGCTCATTAAAAACACTCAGTTATGACCAATTTTTATGCTATATTAAGAGTACAGCATCTATTCATTTCAAATGAGATTTTAATTTATAAAGCTTTTGAGAATAAATCAAATTTAGCCATGTGTCCCAGTTTACCTGTCCATCATTGTCCAGGAGATGTCTATAGTCGGGTGGGATAGTGTCATCTCTTTCTCCCAGCTTGTCTCGGTGTTCTGCTTTAGCTTTCTCCTACAAACATTGAACACATATAATGACTATTTGCTTCCTCTTTTATCTAGAAAATGCATTCAGCATTTTCTGAGACAAAACATGGTTTTTTCTTAAGTGACAGAACAACAAAACAGATAACAACAGATGGTGAAAAATGTTAACTCATATGCTTCTGTATGTCAGCTGATATTTATGAATTTTGCTGTTACTGGTATTTTTGGGGGGAGGGGGTCTGGTTGTGGGGCCTGAACTCTGGGCCTGGGCGCTGTCCCTCAGCTCTTCAGCTCAAGGCTAGCGCTCTACCACTTGAGCCACAGCGCCACTTCCAGCTTTTTCTATTTGCTTATGTGGTGCTGAGGAATCGAACCCAGGGCCTCAGGCATGCAAAGCAAATACTCTACCACTGAGCCACCTTCCCAGCCCCTGGTACTGGTATTTTAATTTGAACTAAAGATTTAATTATCATTAGAGCCCACACTGATGGAAAAAAGGGCAGGGGTATATAAATTATATTATTCACTTTTCAAATTAAAAAATAACTTCACTATACACCAAATTTACAACTTGGACTATTTGTGTGTGTGAGTTTGTGCATGCACGTGTGCATGCATACATCCAGTCTGGCGCTTGAATTTAGAGCCTGGGCACTGTCCCTGATCTTGTTTACTGAAGGTTATAGTGTAGTGAAGTTTACACTGTACCACTTGACCCACAGTTCCATTTCTGACTTTTTGGTAGTTAAGTGGAGATAAGAGTGTCATGGACTTTGGATGGGGCTGGCTTTGAACAGTGATCCTCAGATCTCAGCCTCTTGAGTAGCTAGGATTACAGGTGTGAGCCACTGGCACCTGGCTCACTTATTCATAATTCTTTTACCTTTACTTTATCTTCCATTGGTTTGTTAGCATCAGGGTCAGGCTTTCTTTGCCCGAGACTGTCAGAAAGTTTATCCAAAGCATCATCAAGTTCTTTGTCTCTCTGCTAAAAAATGTAAAAAAAATTCTGAATTAGTCACTGGTTGATCAAACTATCATAGAAGCTAGCCCAAGAACCCCTACCTTTTAAGAAGTGGACCTGATGTTTATAAGTAGACCTGTTGTGGAGCAAGAGGGCTGACAGAATCAGAGAACTGAAGCTCTGGGAGGGGGAAAGGAGGTGAGAATAGCAGCTTTGAAGGACTGCTCCATCCCCTACCCTGCTAGTCTCCCTCTAGCAGCTTAAGCAAGTCTTAGTGACAGATGGGGGGGGCATACCCCACAAGGGACCTTGAAGTCACCTGATTTGGTATTAAAACCCAATTTAACCAATCACATTGTTTCCATCTAGAAATGAAACATGATTCTTTCTAAAAACTGAATATGACTATTTGCTGATGATATATGGTTTGCACGAAGGACTTGGTAACAGAGGATGGTCTTAGAATGTGCTTTAAGGCCAGATTTTGTATGCTTCATAAAGTAGAGCAGGACCAAGTGCAGGAGGAGGGAGGATGTAGAATCCAACACTGCCATTCCCATCGCTGCCTGGAACACAAAACCCCATAGATGATCTGCTGTCTATCATAAGACTGAGGGCTTCATAGAGGCCGCATTGGGGATAAGAGTCCTCAAAACACACCAGAGAATATCTGAATTGCTAGATATCTCTATCTTTACTTTCAGGAAGTCTTTTTGGAATGCATGTCACCAGGAAAGGTAATTTACATGAATTATGACTGGGTAGTTAACTCTATAGTAAATATTCTTAAATAAAACTTTTTCCCCTAGTTTTCATGACATCCTTAAAGAAAACATTAGTAATAGATTCTCTAATAGGAAAAATGAATGGAGAAAAAGCATTGTAAAACTTCCTTGTGATTTGTGATTGGTAATGCTCCCTAGCCCACAGCCTCAGTCAGGATGGGATCTCTGGTGTGAGTGTGTAGTTAAAGGTTCAAATGCAAACAGCAGCCTGGATTACTACTCTACTGTTCTTTCTGTTGCATGGGGACTTTCATTATTGTGGATGTAAACACATATGCACATGCATGCGTGTGTGTGTGCACACACACACACACACACACACACACATTTTGCTGGTTTTAAGTGCTTCACTAGAGTCTAGGATGACAGTTGCTAATGGTCAAGCTACCTATGACCCGATCTGGGCTTTGTCATCTATGTCTCTGGATATTTTCATCCTGACTGACCAGGATGAAAATCCATCAGAATCTGAAACCATAGCACTAAGTAAGCTGTTGTGCTACATCAAAAGGGTAAGAGGCAGGGCTGACTTCACTTAATCCACTTCAACTAGCAAACCAGGCTCTGTTGTTAACCAGAGGAGATGGCATCTGGATTGTGGCAGCCCCTTTGTCTTCTAATGTGCCGCAGATAATATACAGCCTGGCACTGCAGAGGTAATTCATCAAGAAAGTCAAGAAAAGCTTTGGCTCCACAGCCTCATCTCAGAACATGTAAATAATTAAAACAACATTGATGCCGAGGTTTTTCTATTGCTAGCATGAAAATGACAAATTCTTACTGGTGCAAACAGGAAGAAAACAATACCCTTCCATCATATGTCTGTGAAAAAACATTTGGAGAAACTCAACCATTGACAATTCCATAAAATAAATTCGAGGTTAAACAATGTACAGTAAATTATAGTATGTCAGGGAAAAATACAGAGGAACAAAATCAATTTGGAGAAACTAAGGAGTTTTTATAATGTGGTTATTAAACATATACCTAATCCACATTACTGCACTTGTAATGTTGGTGATAAATGGACAAGCTCCTTGACTATGAGTAAAATATTTTCCCATGTTATTTTATTTCACAGAGACTTTTTGCCATCTCCTTCATCACCAATATAAGCTCTTCTAAAACAAAAGGTGCCTGGCCTTCCTAATATTTTTATCTATACTCGTGTCCCTTTTGTTGTATTGCTAGAAGAAATATGAATAAGGCAAGCTGCTTACCGTGGTGTTTGGGGGCGGAGCTGCAGTTTGGGTGGTAGGAGCTTGGGTTTGGGAAACCACTTCAGACATGACAGCAGAAAGTTTAGCATCGTCCAATTTCTTTTGATTAAAACAATATTTTTCTCATTAGTACGCTGTATGTAAAACTATTCCCTCCATGCCATCACTTTACAACTTTCAAGACAACTTATGGCTTCATTTCCTTGATTCAAATACATAATAGTAAACACGTACTTTGCCCTGCCCATGTCTACATATTATTAAATGTGATTGCTGGGTTTTATTTCATATTTATTATCCTGTTGTTTAGTAGTCCAGTGGCTTATAGTTCTGTATTTTTTCAATTCATTTCTTGTTGCAAATTCAAGGCTTTTCAATACATTTGTAGTTAATTGCTCAAAATAGGATCTACGTGTGTCTTCTATAGTGTTGGCTGTATTCCTACAAACTGCCCTCTCAGAAATTGCTAAGCTTCACACTGCTGAAATCAGTGGACCAAATGTATATGTCTTGTTTTGGCTTTGCTTCCCAGAATTACATTGTTATCATGTATGTTAAAGGAGGAATTCACTGCTTCACAAAGTTTAATGCTATTTTATACTAGCAATTTTATTTGCACAGTAAGAATATACAGGTATCTATTAAAATATGCCAGAGACCATCTTCAAATTTCGTGCCTTCACTCACTGAATACTTTATTTCTGTTGTCACTGTATTTGATTGTGGTACCCTGGGTATGTGTACATACGTTTATCTGAATTAGAGAAGGGAAGGGAAACACAATGATGAGACAAAGGACAAAAGGTGAACCAATGCAACAGCAATACTCATAAGACAACGTGTTGGAAATGAACTTTACAACTTGGTGGGGGGGGTGGAAGGGAGGGAAAGTGGGAGAAAAATGAGGGAGAGGGTAGCAATGTTCGACAAGAAATATGCTCACTACGTATGGAACTGTAACCCTTTTGCATATCACCTTGACAATAAAATTAAATAAAAAAAGAGCAAAGTTTTCTTTCTATAAATTTCTTGATTCTGGTTTTCATTTTTGTACAAAGTTTGTAGTATTGACAAGTGCATTATCATAGCTTGTTTTGAAAGTTTACATTTCCAATTTGAAATTGGAAAGGGGTACATTGTAAATTCTTTTCCTTGCAAGTTTAAAAGACTATATTGATAGTCACCTGGCTCATCATCATTGCATATTTTTATTTCCGATCATAAAATAGGTGCGCTATAATTTACTAAAAATGTTATAGTAGACGGAATGAGGTTTCAGCTGTATTATTTTTCTCAATGTTGTATAATATATTATTCCAAAAACTTTCTGAAGCAATGTTTTTTTCCCTCACTTTTTCTAAATATCAACAATCTGTCACTAACATTTATTTCCCACTTTTTCTAGTGAGCTATGTTATCAAGTTTATTTTCTGGATATAGTTCATATTTATTAGTATTGTGTACATATCCTAGTATTTCCATAAAATGTTTGGAACACTTTTGTTTTTCATAATGTTATAATGAGCACAAATTTATTTGTTTTAGGAGGTATCTTATTGCTATTTCAATAAAACCAATAAGCTCATGACATGAAGGAACTATCCTCACTTTTACAGCGTTGACCTTAGATGTAGAGTGGTCTGTTTCTGTGTCTCCATTCTTACTCATTTCTTCTTTTGGAGCTTTCATTTATAAGTCCAACATTTCATTTTAATTTTCATCTGTTGCAAGCAACATATGTAGCAAACAAAATGTCACCTACAAACATACTATCCAGAGTCATATGTACAAATGCATCCAAGTATTACTTTACAGCATTTGTCATTCCCTTTTGGATATACTATTAATCATTTCCATTCAACACTGAGTAGAAATGACTATAAAACTCAACTTTTTAGTTTTTGTTTATAAGAGAAATGTTTCTAGGTTGATATCATTTGGCTCTTGAAGTTAAAAACTCTTTAACCAACTAAAGGATTGTCTACATTTTCAAGTTGTTTATTTCACATGAGTGCAGGTAAAATGTCAAATGCATATTTTATAAGGACACAATTGGCTCTATTTTATGTGTTATTATGCTACATTGACAATCTTCTTCTAGCCAATAAATGTTTAATTTATGATTACTCGAAATAAACTAATTCCATCTTATAGTTTATTGTACTAATTTTTAAAACTAAGTGACTTTTGTTGATATGGCTACATTCCATAAGGTTTTAAAATGAGGACCATAATTACTTATAAAAAAATCTGTGTAGAACATTAGTTTTTTCATGACATAGGTAGGTTGAAATATTACCTTCTCTACTTCTTCCAGTTTCTAAGTAAGGTGTGGGTGACTTTCTGTGATATGTTCTGAGTATTGGAGGCAGATGAGAAGAAGGTCAAAGGAGGAAATGATTGGTATAGCATGGTGTTTCCATCTGGTATGGTGTTCAGTTAGGAGTAAATAGTAACCCCTTCTTAAAAGGATTAATGCTTCAATATGAGCAAACACTTAAGGTAACATGGAGGAATCACTATTTCTTCTTATTTTATTTTCCACCCAATATATTTCCTAAGCCATGACTGCCAACAATGCATTCAGTGGTTTAGAAACTCGAATTGCCAACACAATTATCATTTATATAAGTTTGGAACCCTAAAAGACATATATTTACATGTAAAAAGCCAAGAGAATTCTATAGTAGAGAAATCTTTTGGTCATTACATAACATTTACCAAACTTTCTAGCAACAGAATTCTCTGGGGTTAAATTTTCTTGGAGAGAAATTTAGAAAATGATTAAGTTATAGAAAAAACAGGTAAAGTGGTCTGGGAAGTAATTCTGGATAAACGAGAATTTAAATCTTCTTTTCATAATAGTATTTAATATAGCATGCTTATTGATTCAATTATGGTGTTGGAAACATCCAAAGTTCTGGAATGATATTTCATTTTTATTGGCTATGTTGGAGTTGAGGTCAATTTATATATATATATATATATATATATATATAACATATAACATAAAACATATAACATAAAACATACAACATAAACAGAAAACATATATATACATACATACATATATATGTGTGTGTGTGTTTTAGCTCCCAAGTTAGATTCTAAGTTATGAGTTTCCATCTATTTCTGACAAAAGTAAAGCAAGAGTTTCAGACTTACAAGAGAGGAAGCGTCTGGAGAACCATAGAAATCCTCGGACAACGCATTAACAAGGAAGTCATCACTCAGGGCCTGTAAGAAGTGGGCAATGTATCACCAAACACCATGACACACCACTATTACATGCTTTACTAACTAAAGAGAAAGCTAATCCATCTCAAAATTATCCATTAAGGCCAAAGGAAACAGATACAGTTGGTTTGCTTACCGGAAACTGTTTCTTGGGATCTTTAGGCAGGAATGGTTTTCCATCTTTATCCTATTTGGGTGAAAAACATGGCATTGTCATTTCATCCCCAATACGAAACCTGGACACATCACCAAAAATATCAGAAAGTCACCGACACCTCAGGGATGTGGGCTCAGAGATTATATCAAGCTGTAAATAACTGTCAATTTTTTGAGGAATAGGAGAAAACCAAGAAAACATTTGGGCTCTTTAATAAAAGAAGATGTAAAAAAAAAAAAAACCCTATCTATCCACACACATAAAATAAGCACAATGGTTTGCCCTAATGGGATTTCATTCATTTTTGTGTAAATATCTCACATTAATATGTGAGATCGTCAGGCACCAATGGTTCATGCCTATAGTTCTAGCTACTTAGGAGGCTGAAATCTGAAGATCAAGGTTCAAAGCCAGGGCAGGCAGGAAAATCCGTGAGACTTTTATCTCCAATTAACCACCAAAAACCCTAGAAGTTGTACCCTGGCTCAAAGTGAAGCACTAGCTTTGAGCATAAAAAGTTCAGGGACGGCACCTGGGCCCTGAGTTCAAGTCCCACTACCCACAAAAAAAGAGATGTAGTGGTTTAGATAGAATATATGCTTTGCTCACAAATAACACTAACTTTTAACCCTCTCATCTCCACCGAGTTCACACGCATTGTATAACACTCTCCTCAACTAGGAGAACAGGAGTAGCCCCTGGCCTTTTCCTCTTAGGTCTGTTACTCATTCCTTAGCTACAAAGCCAATAAATACCCACAAGTGATGCATGGGATGCTGGGGGGGGGTTACCCTCAAGTTGAAATTCATCTATCATCACACCATTCAGTGAAGCTTGCGGTCTTCCCTCAGAGAGCTGACCCTCACTGACCTCCCAACTCCTGGTATGAGCTTAGTGGTGAATAACTACATAGTGTTTAAACAAGAGATCAAGCCATCACCCAGGAATGTCATACAACAAATGCCACAGGTAACTAATAGTGTGTGAGGCAACTGCGAAGGAAGATGAAACTACTGATGAATAAAGGGGTCAGGAAAAGGTAATCTCTGAAATGCTGCTACTAAAGGGAACCAACCTCCTGTTAGGAAGAGAGTTCATTGCGGCCGGCCAGCTTCTAAACAGGGACCGCTGGAGACAGGCATGTGGCCCTGAAGATGCTAAGAATTTGTGAAGCAATATTACCAATAAATCTACATCATAGAAAGGCTGTGATTTTTTAGCTGCATTGTGCAGTGCTGAAAGGAAGCAAAATAAATGTGCCAGGATACCAAGCTTTCAGTCAGGGCTAAGTGAGGAAGTTTCCCACGTAAGAGGACTATGAGTTTGATTTCCTGTGATTGTTAAATGAAAGTTAGATGAATATTCTTTTAAGGAGTGGTCTGTTATGAAGATGGCTGACATTTGTTGACTTGTCCATACCTCTGTCCCTCCCATGGGACTTAAATGTGACTGCGCTTAAAAAAAAAAAAAAAAAGGAAATCCATCAGAGTCTTAACTCTCTGCCACTTGTACAACAGTGTTTTCAACACAAAGGAAACAAGTCAACCTTTCACCTTACACAATGATAAGCCGGCTCTCACTTTTTCAAAAGTTGCTAGGTTTCCTCATAGGAAATGATTGTTACTCATTTTGGTCTTCCTGTATTTCTGGTATTGTAACAAATTATGTGTTTGAAGGGACAGTATGTGGTAGCTTACCCACTTGATCTCTTCCACTTAAGGAAAGTATGGATAGGCCAGCTATTGATAACATTTTAGCTTCTTCTTTTGGGGTTTTAACTTTAATATATACTTCACTGTTTGAGATATTACCACAGAATTTATATTCTCCTACATTCAGTACCACATAAAGGGGAAAATATTCTAGTCTGATTACCTTGACCTCTTCTAGCCTATAATCAGGAGGAATTGTTTCTTCTTTTTCACCAAGCTTTTCCCGGTCTTCTTCTTTGGCTTTCTCCTGAATGAAAGTCATATCATTTTCATTGTTAGTGTGTCTTTTTTCCTATAAAATGGATATTGGAGTGGCTAAGTTGGAGGTAAATTACTTTATCATTAGGCTTGAACACACAGATTGGCCACACCCTAAAAGTTTCTCCAACAACTTTAGCACTGCTTCTAAGTCTAACAGGCTCCACCACCATGTGAAAGCCTTGGCTGTTAGCCTGTTGGGCTGAGAGTCAGGTTGGAAGGAGCAGTAGGCAACTGCCACTTCTTCCCCATGTCCTCAGAAATGTATATAGATAGACAGAGAGACAGACAGACAGACAGACAGACAGACAGACAGACAGATAGATAGATAGATAGATAGATAGATAGATAGATAGATAGATAGATGGATGGATAAAGGGGGGATTCATAAAACTAAAGCATGTATATGCTATCTACCTACCAGATTGTTAAATATACTTTTGGCTTAATTAAACAGGACATTCACAATAACAAAGAGTGCCAGCTGATCATATTCTGTAGACAATATTTAAGTCATTGGCTTATTGGGGGGAGGGGAGGGTCAATGATAGTCGTTTTTTAGGGAATACCTGAACTTCCATTCATTACCTTGACTTTATCCACTTCAGGCTTTCCATCTTCTGGATCTGCTTGCCTTTTCCCCAGGCTGCCAGCCAAGGCTTCTACAGCATCATTGGGTGCCATGTCCTCCTACAAGGATATGTAGGCATATGAAGGAAGTGGTTAGTCACTCCTCTGAAGAGGACAGAAACTTACTAATTCCGGTATGCGCAGACTCATTTCAGGTCTACATAAGAAGCATACGCTCTTATTAATTATAAATTCTCAATTGAACTAGAATTTATTTAGAAACTGAAGAGGTTAAAAATAACAAGTTACTTTTATAAAACGTTAAAGTGTATAACAGATGTAGCCAGAGTCTGGGTCAGAAAAACAAGAAGGTAAGGGTCTGGGAAGGTGGCTCAGTGGTAGAGTGCTTGCCTTGCATGCCTGAGGCCCTGGGTTCGATTCCTCAGCACCACATAAACTAAAAGAAAAAAGCCGGAAGTGGTGCTGTGGTTCAAGTGGTAAAGCGCTAGCCTTGAGCTGAAGAGCTGAAGGACAGCGCCCAGGCCCAGAGTTCAGGCCCCACGACTAGAACCCCCCCCCCAAAGAAAAGAGAAGGTAAGCAAAGCTAACATCAGGGAAGCAGACAGGTCTCTGTGGAGATCAGTCTATGGGCAGAAGTAGAGGAAAGATTTTCAGAGAGCCCAAGGGACAAGTTTCCAGGAGGCAGCCCTGACAGTCGTAGAGGAGAAAGAATCGTCATGTGTTTTTGCTGAGGCTTCTACTGCAGAAGGAATCACAGGTTCAGTTGACCACACCCATGACCAACTCTCCTCAGGGCATAACAAGGACCTTATACCTGGGGTCCACTTGTTTGAAATGAAATCACCTCCCTCACGATGTTATGAGGTCTGGTCATGCTGATATTTAAAGTAACTGGTAAATACAGAGAATAAATGATATAAGGGGGAATTTTTTTTAAATTGGGGTTAAAAGATAGGTCTACCTTTGATTTTTCCAAATTATGAATCATGAGCCACACATTAGTGACTCATAAAAAACAACGGATCAAGACCCACGACCGAGAAAAATAAATAAATAAAATAAAAATGAAAAAATGGAATGATTCATGGCCAGAACTGACTTTTTCTTTCTTTCTTTCTTTTTTTTTGGTCTGGTCATGGGGCTTGGACCTTGGGCCTGGGCGCTGTCCCTCAGCTCTTCAGCTCAAAGCTAGCGCTCTACCACTGAGCCACCTTCCCAGCCCCTGACTTTTTCTTTTAAATAATTAAGATATAAAATAAAATGCATTAAACATATTAGGGTTATTAACTGTGTTTTCCATGGGGTTGGCACTGGATTGCAATATCAAGAATTTTCTCCTATTGTTGGTCAAATAAAACCTTGAAATCATTGGATTAAACATTCTCATCATGAAAATCTGACCACGAAATTTTCTAACCTCAAATTGATTATGTGAGAACTAAAAAAAATGGATTTGTTTTATATATCATACCTATCATCATTGCAAGTAATAAAAACTTCTTTTTCTTTTTTCTAAACTATGCTACAAAAAGCTAGGATTAATTACTCCCAGAGGGAGAACAAGTTAAAAGTGACTTGCCGCCACCTAGTGGACAGAGATTGAATAGGTTTTTATTCTCCATATCAACAACAAAAATCCTGGGCTGGGAAGGTGGCTCAGTGGTAGAATGCTTGCCTTGCATGCCTGAGGCCCTGGGTTTGATTCCTCAGCACCACATAAGCAAAAAGAAAAAATCCGGAAGTGGCACTGTGGCTCAAGTGGTAAAGCGCTAGCCTTGAGCTGAAGAGCTGAGGGACAGCGCCCAGGCCCAGAGTTCAGGCCCCACAACTGGACCAAAACACAAAAAAACAAAAAACAAAACAAAACAAAAATCCTTGATACGTAATTTGTGTGAGGAGTTGGCACTGGTACCCAAATATCATCCAGGAAATCTGCTACTTGATCTGAAGTACCCTGCTCACATTTTACCTCTGTTTTCTCACAGAGTCTTTGGAAACAACTGCTTCCCAAACATGGGGCCTTTGCCAATCTCTTGTTTAAGAAGTGACTGAAAGAATTAAAGACCTCTGAGAAGCAATGTTAAGAACTAAGACACCTTGAACAAGACTACAGACTCCACATTCCATTTATGTGTTGTCTAATTCAAGACTCAGGTCTCTGAATTTCCTAAGTTTTCTTTTTATGCACACAGACACACATATTTCTCTCCCTCCTTCCAGATTCCCTTTACTCACTAATACTCATGCTTTCTTGAGTCCTTTAACCTTTATCACATTCCACTGTTATTCTTTCTGCCTCCAAGGATGTCACAATCCCAGACATGCTAACTTCCTCAGTGACTGTAACCTTGGCAACCATGGCCTGCGTTGGCGAGTAAAGGTCCAAGAAAGGTGGCCAGGGAAAGGGAAAATTAGAATACTTTTTCTGTCCACTAAAAAAAAAATCTAGTGCTGAGCTCTACAATCAGGGCAAAGTTGGCAAAGAACCGAGTTCACTAAGGCCCTCCCTGGCTCTTACACTTGGTTCAGGAGGCAAGTGATGCAAGTTTTGGTCACAAGCCTTCCACCCTGAAATGCTAGCTGTTGTCATTTTTTGACTGCTGTCATTATGGTTGCTTCTGTTTCTGGTAACTGAACTCTTCCTAGATTCCCCTCTCCTCTCCTATTCTTTAACATAGTGGTTTGTGGCCTGACATTCAGAGTGGAAATTGTTAAAGAGTACATCATTACAACTTCAAAAAAAAGTCCTAAACCAGTGGCATGGTACACACCTGTAATTCAAGAAGCTGGTTCAGAATAAGTTTGAAACCATCCTACATAGTGAGACCCTGCTCAACAAAATTCATATCTAAAAGAAATGTAGAGGGACCCTGAATTTAGGATTTGCAGCTGGCACAAAGCATTTTCTTGGCAGGAAGCAGCTCTTCATAACACTCAAGTTACCCAAGGTTTTTCTCAATCTCTTCAGAGCCTCCTTTGCTAACATCTGACTACAGATGCCAGATTCCAAGTACTTTTCATTGCTGTGGATGTCTGTCTCACTTTGCTGGTTTCCCTGGAAAATGGAGCGGCTACTCCCAGTTTTCAAGGTGACTCTGCCTGCTGCTATTAGGAAAGCACCGAACCCATCTTGCTACACGTGTTTTCTATGTGGATAGTTCAACTTGTACACAAAGATTAAGATCTGGCCCATGTCCCCAGTAGGCTTTACAGGGAGACCAGAAGCTATTTCCTTTACCTTTGCGATGGCACTGGAAGCCTTGGTGGATTGTTCTAAGTTAACACACAGCGCCTCATTGTCACATTATCACACAATGATAATACACAGCAGAAAGTACTCACCAGAAAAACAAAACAAAAACACCCCAGAATTTTCTCAAGCTACTGCTCAATGCCATGAGCTCACTCACCAAGGATGTGGTCTTGGGTGGTGTTGACTGTATGCTACACATGGAGGTCCGTGACACAGCCTCTGCCACAGGAACTGGGGCAGTGACTTTAGATTTCTGAGAAGAGAAGTAGGTGTTAGGAATAATTTTGGAAACACAAAGTTAATAAAGCTGAACCACAACACACCAAACAAAACATTCTGAGATCTAAGCTGTAAGCACGAGTCACTTGAATGCAAAAGGAGTGTTGGATATATACATTCTGGCATGTTAAAAGGCCTTGGCCACCATTATTTTTGACTTGAAGATTCAGTTACCACATCTGTGAGAGGAGAGCAACAATAATATTACAACTCAAGGGTTGATAAGAAACTTAAATGAGAGCAAATGTGAAGTGCTCTGGATAGTACCTGGGAATATAGAAAAGTCAACCAACTTGAGAAATCATTATTGTGATTATTTCTACTCGCTATGTGATTATAGCTATTTAATAGCATAAAATATATCTATAGCTACTCTATGAAATAATAGTACACAAAATGATATACTCACATAATTTGAAGAGCACATTACAAATTACCAATAGCGTGTACAAATACAAGGAAGTAATATTGGATGGGGGTTCTCATAGTGGTTTCTGGACCACTCAGGTAGCCCCAGCTCCACTGTGAAACTTTTAAAAAATGCAGATTCTTGGGCCTCCACCCCAGTGGAACCCGGTAATCTGTGTTTCACTAAACCTCTCTGGAGATTCTGAGGCATACTAAAGTTTAAGAATTACTGAATTATCTCAGGTGTAACATTTCTAATTGTTTTTAATTGAGACATTTCACAGAACCTTCCCTACATGCAAGGTACTCAATAATCACTAATGGGAGAGAATCTCTCATCTCAAGGAACATTATACCTATTTCAAACTACATATAATGTTAGAGGCAAAAAGGGACCAATATTGCTAAAAACTTGTTACAAATGTTTTGCCAGAGATATATTAAAAATATAGCCAAGCACTAGTGACTCATACTTGTAATCCTAGCTACTCAGGAGGCTGAGATCTGAGGATCATGGTTCAAAGCCAGCTCAGGTTGGAAAGTCTATGACTCTTATCTTCAATTAACCCCCAGAAAACTGGAAGTGGCACTGTGTATCAAAGTGGCAGAGCACTAGCCTTGAGCTAAAAGGCTCAGGGACAGTGCCCACGCACTGAGTTAAAGGTCCACAGCCAAAAATAAAAAGTAAAAGAAATATATGTGTGTGTGTGTGTGTGTGTGTGTGTGTGTGTATGTGTGTAAGACAGAATAATGGGCTATATATATGTATATATATACACACACATATATGTATAATTTTATACTATATACTATAGTAAATATACTATAATATATATATATGTATGTATAGCCCATTATTCTGTCTTTTTAACATGGAGATTTTGTTTTGCATTTTCCAAGATGTACTTTCTTTTCCAAAGCTAACATTGATGTTCTTGCAACTTAAATCCCATGATTATTCCTTCAAGAAACTTTCTTTGCTATATATAGTTACTAGCAGCCTCTTTAAAAAGGGTGGTATGACTAAGAGAAAGAAAAGCAGAAGATAAAAAACACAAGCCTTAAAAGGATGAGTTAAGACTTTACATTTTGGGGAAATGATTATTGCAGATAGAAGGGTCTGGATGTGAAAAACCATGGAAATACAGGTGGTTTGCCAGTGATTGAGATAAAGGACACACTGGTGGGAAAGGAAGCTGGACCTAGAATACTTCAGGAGAGTACTTTTCTTTCCTAGTCAGTGGGAAGCTCCTGAGCTGGAGCAGGGGAATGATATGACTAGCAGTTCTGAGAAAGAACAGCTCTGGTGGGCAGGAAGGAGGGTGGCAGGGATTCTACAGAAAGGCCAATGAAATCCTCAGGTGAAAACTGGTGTCAGATTTAAGAGGTAAGTTACATACACAGGCAAAGAAAAAAAGCATAGGAGAGTTAGCTCTGGAAAAGAAAATACATCTAGGAAAATGCAAAACAAAAACCTCCATGCTAAAAAGACAGAATAATGGGCTTTTAAAAATATCAACTCCTTCATGCTAAAATGGTTTTGGTCTCACATACTTTAAAACTCCCTCAAAAGTAGAGATTTATATTTTCAGAAACATACTTCTGTTTTTTCAGTTGGCTCAGGTTGCTTTTCTTTGCTTTTCGACTGGTCAAAATCTTCTGCAAGTTCATCAATGAGTTCTGATTCACTCCGGGGCTGTAACATAAGAAACACTGTATTATGAAGTTAATTTTTATTGTATAAAAAATATTTTCATAGGGCAATATGCTGTTCTTTCCTGGTTAACACATATTAAAATATATTGGGATCTAAAGCCAAATATCCACAGAGGATCTTTTCCTTTGTCAGTGGAAGATAAAAATGTCAGGCAACAAGTAAAGAATACTAAATATCTCAGTGCTACCAAGTGTTAATGGTTTCTTTATTCAAAAGTCATTCTGATACTTCTATTTCAGAAGGTATTTTGTTCAAATAAAATTTCCTGTTCTCTGCAGGGAAGCCCTTCCTTTCTGAATAAGTCAGAGAACACACAAATCATGCACTGCCTTCCTTTGCTTGCAACAGAAAAGATTCTGGCAGTGAAATTTCATTTAGGGTATATGGATATTTTGACTTAAAAAAACAGCCTTTGACAGACATGTAATGCAACAGCTGGGTTCTAGCAGGGACAATCTGAGATGTGAGTCGCAGACTTGCTATTTTCTAGCTGTGTCCCTTTGTGCTACTTACATTAATTCTCTGTGCGACTCACTGGAAAATGGGAATCACTGCTGTCCTCATTCAGCGAGGACTCAGACAGCCTGGAAAGCAGTTATGCATGTTGTGCATACAGAAAGTGATTCATTCATGCTGTAATTGGCATTGTGACAGGAAACCAGTTTCCTCCACTTGAGGCGATATAACATAGTTAAAAGCATTTCTAGTATGCTGTGAATAGGTCAAATGTTAACATTATCTAATTTAATGGCACTGGTTCCTTATATTCATTGAAAATTTCTTAGAAACTCAGAGCCTAGTAATAATGTGTAACAAAAAATATCCCTAAAATGTAGGAAAAGGAGTCAGAGGCATCAGCCAAGTATCCCTTCAGAAGTTCCCTCCTCAATACTAAGTTGGCAAATAAATCTCCATAGTGAACTCTGGCCTGTTAAAATTATTTAAATTTATGCTTTTCTAAAGTATTAGAAAAATAACTTTCTATTTTCCAACCTTGGATTTTTCTTCAGGCTCTGGCAATAGTGGTTTTCCATCTTCATCCTATAAATGAAATTGGAAATGCACTAAATAGGCAATTTTGCTTTTACATCCCATTAAATTTGTTTTGCAGAATTCCAGATGAGCTTTTCCCCCCTTAAGTTTGACTGAATTTATATTTTATATTTACTTTTTATTTAAAGAATCAGAACAAGGAATAGGTCAACAGATTAAATGTTCCCAAGTATGAAGTTTATTTACTTTTCACTGAAAGTAACTGTTAGGAATAAAATAAGAGGGAAAAAAGTCTTTGGCAATAAAGATACAATTATGTTACTGGAAGGTTCTTTTAAGGTTCAACTCTCCATTATAGAGATGTGGATACCATTCCTGTAATAAACATTGTTTAGCTTTTGAATATGAGGTTTCACAATTTAGAATGTGTCTAAATTGTTAGCTTTCATATATAAGCTCATGCAAGAATCAAAGCCATTTCCCATCATTTATATCGATGATTTCCAAAGAGAAACTACAGGATCCATCTCCCTAACAGTGTGATTATCCAGCTAACTAGCTGTACATTTCCATCTACCTCCTAGAAAATGAACGGGTGCTTTTATCTTCAAATTACTCCATCCTCTTTAAAATTAAATAGCTATTTTAAGCATTGCTAGTTGTTGAAACACTTGAATCAGTAGAGTTTTGTTACCAAAAATTAATTGAACAAATTAATAGATTCATTTTAATCTTTTCACATATGCGGATAAGGAACTTTGACCATATTCTATGCCTTCTGTTATTCTCCCCTCCCTCTCCTCTTAGTCTGCTTTCCTCTCCTTAAATAGGTAAATCTGTAGGATTCTTTTTTCTTTTTTTGTACTGGGGACAAAACTCAGGACTGAGCCACATTCCCGGTCACTTTGGTTTAAATTTGCTTTTCAGAGAGAGTCTTAAGGTAATTTCTCCTAGCATCTTTCTAGGCATGTACTACCTACCATCCATAGGTCCTTAATCGATGGGAAAGACAAATCGGCCTCATTAAGAGCTTTAACTGCAGAAAGCAGAGGAGAAAAGGTCCCAGCTTTTCAGAGTTAATATCCAAAACGGGACAGGTGTTCTGAGTGTAAAGTGAGGACAAGTGTGCTTGCTATTGTGCAGTGCAGAAGAATGTTTACCGTGACGGGCTTTAGTCTGTATTCAGATGGGACTGTCTCATCATCCTCACCGCACTTTTCTAGTTTTTCTTCTTTAGCTTTTGCCTGGTGGAAAGAGAGGGAGAGAAAAGAGCAGTTGAACAATGCATATTCAAAGGGATGGTGCCACTTCCTCTGCATACTTTACACGAACACCCCAACATGAGTCAAATGAGAGTCTGGAAGAGCACTGCAACCTACAAAACACGCGGCCATGGTGAGCAGCTATGAGCCAGACAGCACAGGGCGGATGGAGAACAAAAATGAGTGCCAGGGGCATCCTGTCCTGCTTTCAGGCTCTCAGAACTTGAAATGCCATCTAGCCTTTGTTTTGCTTTCTTGAGCTGTGCAATGTGGCTACTAATATTCTCCCTTGGCTCACTGACTTGGGAGGATCACCAAAGAAAAGTAAGTAAAAGACCCCAAGAGGGTGGTAAATACTGTTTGGGAGTTAGTTGCAGTTATTTTGATAGGTTCCATCTGAGACAGTTATCTAAGGAGGGGGAATATAACCAGTTTTCCTACCCAGAGAAAGAGGAGAAATAGAGAAGCAACTGATCATTTATGCATGACGTATACATGTATACACCGACTTATACATAAGTAAATTTTTAACATCTTAAAAAGGTTTCCCTGCAATAACACCAGCACATCCCTGGGCTACTGAACCATAAACAACTAACGTAGTAGTAATAAAAGGGCAGTTTTATAGTGGACCACTGACTCTCAGAATATAACATTTGTAATTTAATCTACAGGTACATAGCTCACGAGTCCACAACATGTAATATTTAAATCTATTCTAGGAGATTCCTTTAGGCAAATTCCAATTCAACTCACTGTTCCTATCTACACATCAGTAGAAGATCATAGTTTCCTACTGGTTAATTCTTTTATTCATTGAAAAATGCATTAAGCAATTTCAATGAACTAGATACTACATTCAGTGTTGAATGATAAGATTTATTTTCCTATAGACTAATTTTACTAAAGGATGGAAAGGATTATGCATCTTTTAACATTTCTAGTTTCATGTAAAGGCAGACTATGGAGAAAGTTCTATTATGAGGGAGCAATACCTCCTAATTCAAGGATTTGTGAGGTCTCTGGTCATAAAAGCCTTTGTGAGCATCAAGGGGCATGTACATCTTGAAACTGTCCGGTTACATTCTGGCTGCCAACAGTGACAGGTACACACTCTGCTATGCCTTTTCCTTTTTAATCTTTTTTTTCCTCTCAGTATTCACTGTGGTTTGTACATAAGACTCAAACAATGGGGAAATGCCTACTTTGAAAACAATCCTGGACAAGGTAAAATGAGAGAGATCCAAAATGAAGTGGTCACTATAGTCTAAGTAAAGATTTAATTTATGGTATGATGTATCCTAAGAATACTGAGTTAGGTGGGGGGCCTGTTCTCCAGAACATTCCCTGGTTTGCACGAAGTGTGCTCTAGTGGAGGCATGCTGGCGTGGCAGGACCTCCTGGAGGAGCTCCTCAACCTTACACCAGACTATTTGGGTAGTAAAGAATCACCCTCGGATGCTATGACTTCAACTCACGGATTTAGAGGGTTAAAAAGATCAACAAAAGTGGGTAAAACAATTATTTTGCTAGAATTGTAATCTACTCCTACAGTAAGGTTTTCTAGAGAAAATCCATACTTTCCCTGAACTACTTAGCCACACTTTTTTTTTCAACTCTACTTAACTGATTTCAGTCACTCTAAGTTTCTTTTTGTCATAGGATTTATATCCCATTTATATTTTCCCTCCACACAGTTAATGTTTTACTAATCAGCGAAATGCCTGAGGCAAAAGTGACAGTCACCCCTGGCTACCTAGGCCTCAAAAGATAGAATCATAACCTGGTCTTCCCACTGTCCCCAGGCTTCTGCCAAGAACACCTTCCTTTTGAGGACGTGACTTCTATTCGGCTACTCTTAGTAATCCTTAAATTTTTTAATCCTGACCCACAGTTTAATTATACTAAATTCATCTACCAATTTCTACGGTACATCTCACAGTGTTCCAGTCAAAGCTCCCCTTTCTCCCCAGCACATTACTTGATCCTGGAGGACAGGACGTCCTTCTCCTGCTCCTTTGTGTTCATCATCCAAGAGCTTATCATGCCACACTGTGCCCGGTGAGCCCTCAAAGAAAGTTGAAGATAGAAGTTGGCCCATCTTGGACCAGGGCCAACTCAGACTCTGAGAGGTCCAGGGGGTCAGGGGGATTCCTCCGACCGGAAGTGACATCAGACAGAGGCATTGTGACAGAGACAGCTGTCAGCTCCCCTTCCTTAAGGTGCTAGGGTAGGGTGGTTGTCAAGGATCCCGGCTGCATTTACATCTCCCCTTAGGACAATTGTCTCTTTTCTTCTCCCCCCCCACCCAGAGAAACACGTTGAAAAATTCTACAGGTTTATAACTTAATACAATGATACTCACTATTATGTAAAACCAATAACTAATAAGTAGAAGTAAAGGAAGAAGAATATAGCAATTTCTGTGTTGGCTGATCATTAAACACTTTTGTGATGCTAGATCACTGAGATTCTGCTACACTGAAGAACAAAGTGAGAATGCTACTAAGAGACTATTCCTAGCTGTTGATATATCAAAACTTCTCACTGTTTAAATATGAAAACAGCATAAAAATAGATGTTATTCCTTAATTGGTATATGCTTATAATATAAGGGACTGCACTGTGACATGCCCATCCATGTGCCAAGTGCACTTTAAATACATTTATTCACCCTTCCTCCATATTCCCAGCTCATCCACACTAGGTCCGAGCTAACTTTGGCTCAGAAGGCTTGTGAAGTCTTGGTGGGTGATGAGCTATCCCTTCTTTAGCTTCATCTCTAAATGTTCAAGAGATCCAGTTTCTGAATAATTGTGGCTTTTGATTTGAAACACATTTTCAACCTCTTTCCCCAAAGTACTGTAAGAACTATCATCCTCCTATATCATCTTCTACTTCCTTATGGAGACATTGCTAGCACCATTCTGAAAATACAAGTTAACAATTTCCTGAGAGGAAACGTCTCTCTTTCCCTCTGCCTCTTGTTATCTTGTTTAGTCAGGTGCCATATATTCTTTAACAAAGAAGATTAGTGTTCATTTTAGATATTTAAATTGTAGGGTCTTTTTAATAAAAACACTCACATATTCCTCTTGGTTGCTATCGATCAATAAATTCTGAAATTAACTAGATTCTGAAAGTAAGGTAGAATGAAAAGTAGCTCATTTCTGATCGCCAACAAAAATTAAAACTATGAAAGAATCCTAAACATATGGCAGACATTCAGCTTTGCAAGCTGCAGATGAACACACTTTAAATATCAACCCCAGTACCTCATCAACTTCCTTAATGGAGCTGAGGTCGATCTCAGGGTCTGATTTCCGGGTACCCAGTGAAGCTGACAGAGCCTCAAGTGCTTGATCACTCATGGCATCCTGTTAAAAAAAAGAATGTGCATGAAAAAAAGCACACCTTAATCATCTGTTCTATTCTTAGAAAAACCCACATTTTAAATACATACGATCAATTGTGAACTGGGGAAGTACTTTAGGGAGGCAATTTTATGTGAAAGCTAAGCAAAAGAGAAAAAGGAAAAAGAACTTACCAAGGAATAAAAATTGGGCTAAGACCCGTTCCCATAGTAACAGTACCCCTCTAGGGGTACACTTCACCTCTTGTGCAAGTGAAAAGGATAACTGTAATAATAGTATTATTATAAAAGCGTCTTATCAAAATAGCAGCTACAAGTAAGCAAACATTCACTACCTTGTTTTTCTAAAACAGTGTCTCCAAAAATTGCAGGCTGACAGCCCTCTCCTTCAGCAAAACAGCTAAGCTCAGGAAGCAGAGAGACTTGTGGCCTTTCTGCTCACGCTGGAGGCAATGGCTCCTGGTTGTAGGAGTTTTCACTCTCGGGGTGTGGTGTGCACCACTGTTCCCACAGCCAGACTGATAAAAATAAACTACCCATTCCAGCAGGGGAGAGGCAGAAGCAGCTCTGATAGAAACTGTCCTTAGCATTATCTAGACTATTTGCGCATGACACATTGTGCTCTCAGGCTCCCAGGGCTGCAGGATCACTTTTCAGACTTTGTGAGAATTAGGTCATACTTCATTGTGGTTAAGAGAGGTGAACGGAAACAACGATGACCATGACCCCTAAGAAACAAACTCCTTTAGGAAATCAAGCTTATGAGTGTGTTCCAAGAATGCAAGTCCTCTCTGTTTTCTGCCCTTCTGTGTGTTGTAATGGTGAAATGGTCTTGGATAACCATCAAGAAGACTATGCTGGAAGCATTCTCAGGGGGTTGTAGAAACGTGAGATTTGCCTGATGATGATCAATATAGGCTCAATAGCTTCACTCTGGCACACAGAGCCAAGCTTTTTACCAGAGGTAATATAATATTCCAATTATCCTGAATATGTAAGAATTGACTCAGAAAAGTATGGACTATCAGATGGATCAGGATTATTTTCAAAGAAATAATTATCAATACCTCTTCCACCCTTCTTTTCTTTTCCTGGGGCGGAGCAGTACTTCTGACTACCCCAGCTGATTGAGCTTTTAAAACCTCTCCTGTGGATTTCTGAAAAAGAAAATACAACATAAAGTATTTACACATAAGGGAGATTTATTCAGAGTAACCCAAATTAAAGGGTTGTGCTTTTCAGGGTCAAGATAGTTTCTAACAAGTTCTCTTCAGCAGTAGTAATAGCCATACCTCTGACTCAGTTTTCTTTCCTTCAGTGGTAGGAGAACTACAGGTGAAGTCAGATGACAAGGCATCTATGGCATCATCCGGCCCCATAGATTTCTAAAGAAATAGGATAACAAAGGTAACACAAGAAAGAGGTGTAGTAAGAGAAAGAATTACACATCCAGCAAATGAAGGCTGTACTTTTGCATTCCCTGGCTACCCAAGTTGATACATGAGTGAAATAAAGGAGGGAATGGGTGGTCTGTAAAAATTATTTTTCTCTTGTCCTCTTCCAAAGGAATTACATATTAGGATGTGCTGGTTCCCTTGTCATTAACATTTATTCTTATCCTTATGCCTTCTTGCTTCCATTTTCTTTCCTCTCAAAACAACCTGAGACCATGAGCAACAAGACAAACCCACAGATACCGCTTTTTATGAAAAGACAAAAACATGTGATAGAGAGGTTAGTTGAGTTGTGAGCCCCAAATATGGGCTTGTTAGTCCTATTTCCCCAACCAAAGATACAGACAATATTGATTTACATCTTGGAAGATATTTGTGTAAACTCACCGGAGAGTCTGGAGGAGGCCCAGTGATCCCTTCCTTTTTCTAAAATAAATGTAATTTGATAAAGTTGAGAAGGTACAATCTATGATAGGCTAACGTATTCTCAGTATGATAAACTGAATTGAACCCCACCCCCTGTCCAAATTCCTATGTTGTCCTAACCCTACTGCCAAAGGTGAAATCATCAGGGTAGGTGTGAATCCAACGTGACTGGGTATCCTTAGCAGGGGGGAAACTTGGAACCAGAGAAACACTGAGGGAGATAATGGGAAGAGACTCAGGAGGAAGATGGCTACCTACAAACCAAGCAGAGAAGGCTACAGGAGAGCTTTCTCTCAGTAACTATCAGAAAGAACTAACCCTACTGAGACCTTGATTGTAAACTTCCAGCCTGCAGAACCATGGTGTTGAAGCCACCCAGTCTGTGTACTTTGTGAAGGCAGCTCTACCAAACTAATATAGACAGTGGGTGTTTTAATGCTAAAGTTTAAATTATGAAGATACTGATAGGAAATGATATTCCAAGATGAAAACAATGAAATTAAATAATTATTCAACTTACAGCCAAAAGTTCCCTATATTTGGGAGGAATTGTGACTTCTCTTTTACCCAGTTCTTCAATGTTGGTCGAAAACATTGGATCCTATAAGAAAACCACATATGTAGAGATATTCTGTAACTAATCAGCTGAAAATACATGAAAACAAAGTACTAGTACTATTCTATTATTAATTATTGGAACTACTGAGGTACACTATAAATCAGTAAGAGCCAAAATTGTACACAACTCTGAGTTCTAAATTTATACAATACCCATATTTAACTGAAATGCTAGAAAATGTTAGAAATACTATGCTAAAGTTGAATTTTATATTAAAAAGCATTTTGTGTTCAATATCTAATATTTCCAGTACTTTCAAAGTACATTATGTTAGTAACATAATGAATGTCTGTAGAACCCAATACACTTTATTGGGTTTATATTACTTCTAATGTAAAAAAAAAAAAAAAAAAACAAAATCATATTTAGAGTGCATGTCTCCTGCTTGGCCCTCTCTAAGTTCTGTACTTTAGATTTACCATCTTTATCACATGAAGTTGAACATATTTTTTATGAATAATGTCACATGGACACATTTTAAAGTAATATACAGCATTACTTTGTGTATTTTCAAATGTTATATAATGGCATGTGTTCCATCTTACTTTGTATTTATTTTGTTCAAAATTAGAGTTTTTTTATAATGCTGATACACAGATAACCCATTTTCACCACTATAAAGCATTGCATCAAATCCTCTCACCTGTTTTTTAAGTAATAATTTTATTGTTATTATTAAGCTGTTATACAGAGGGGTTACCATTTCATAAGTCAGGTAATAAGTGCATTTCTTTGTGTGGATAGTGTCACCCCTTCCTGCTTTCCCCCAGTTTCCCTCTCCCAGCCCTGCCCACGAGTTACACAGGTCATTTTCACATAATATATACTCAATAACATGATGGCATGTGTTTACCGTTGCTTCTTCCTTTTCTATGCCCCCTTTACCCTCCCTAAAAGATTAAAAAAATAGCAAAAACAAACACTACCACCTCCACCAACAATAACAACAAACCAATGTTTCTATTTCCTGGAGTTTGTTTCAATAAATAGTATTTTAAATGTTCAGGGAAGTTACACCTTTGTGTTCCGCCCCAAAGGGTATCCTCCTTTAGTCTGAATACAACTCTTTCTTACCAAATACACTATATTTCAGTGGCAGTCTTAACACTTGCTTGCTCAATCAGTGTAATTTTATAGGTAATATATAACAAACCTCTTCTATTCTCAACACTGACTTTTAGTTACCATTATCAATAGTGACACACCAGTTGCTTCGGTGAAAACAACACAACATTAGATGTACTCTTGTACTTCATAATCATGGCCTTTTATAATCTATATACTGAGTATGAACCTTTACAGATATCACATCACATACCGAAACTACTGGCCCGGTATATGGTGTATTGTTTTCGTTAGTTTCTTCAGGTTCTCCTAAAGTGTCTATTAGGTCATCCAAAGCAGCATCCAGGCCTGACTAGAAATGAAAGAGCACAGATACAGATTGTTAAACATATTTCACCATTGACTTTTTGACCAACCAGAAAAATCAAATGCCATAAGGTTTCTAAATTCAAAAATGGTAAAAAGTCAGACCTAATTTTGTTACTGAGGTTTCCAGAGTACAGATACTGGGTTGGAAACATAAAAAGCTACTATTCAGCTAAAAATCATAATTTCAAACAAGTCCAATGTCAATAAGTACATGAACAAATCGATGAGCTAATTAAAATTGCTAATCCAATGTACTCACAGTTAAAAAGAAAAAAAGAAATACATGAAATGATGGCCATATCCCTAAAATGCATGTTACAGTTACAAGAACTAGCTATTTTCTTCTTGCAATATCGCTTAATCAAAGTAATCAGTGAGAGGATGTCTTTACCTTGATGAGGTAAAGAGTAACTTACTGTGAATAATAATCTCATTTGAAGGAGAAAAAACAACAATCTAGGGGAAGCCTTTTTACAATTTAACTCAGACCAAAAGTGAGTGCTTAAAATCTTTGCCTTCTTAAAGTACAACTACTATATTCCCACAATAGCTTTAGAACTCAATTGATCATTGATGTGACCAGTAGGATTTATGTACTGTCAGCTTTATAGTAATTTTATGAGAATTATTTAGTGATACATCTGGCTAAAGAAGGTATATTTTCAGTAGAAAAATTAGAATGTAGCGAGGTGCTGGTACCTCTCACCTGTAATCCTAGCTACTCAGGAGACTGAGATCTGAGGATCATGGCTCAAAGCCAGCTTGGGCAGGAAAGTTTTAAGACTCTTATCTCCAATTAATGGCCAGAAAACTGGAAGTGGGGCTATGGTTCAAAGTTGTAGAGTGCTAGCCTTGAGCAAAAGAGCTCAGGGACAGTGCCCAGGCCTGAGTTCAAGCCCCATGGCTGACAAAAAAAAATTAGAATGTAAACTCTGTAAGATGAAACCAGAGTTTCAAAGCAGAGGACTCTAATATAAAATGTTATAAACAAAACTGTTAATATAACACTTTTAACCAGTCACATCCTCTTAAAATAATAATTAGAATAACTCTTTAAAGTTATCCATCTCATACTATTTCCCCCCCAAAAAAAAATCAGGCTGAGATAAATATAGAGCAAAGGACCACTATCTTTCCTAGATGCTTACTGAGATCTTCATACCTTTCCTGGTTTATCCGGTTTGGAGTTGACTGGCACTTCAGGAGTTAATGATTTCTTTTCTTTTTTCTGGTGAGAGAGTTTAAAAGGACATGAGACAAATTCCTTTGACCTTCCTTTATAAAGCTCAATTCTATGACATTTTAAGATGAATTCACTGTGATGTTAGTAGCATTGATCAGGTACTTCACATGTATTGTACACTAGATATTCTGATGTATCTCTTAGATCCTTTTGTCAAAGCTGCTTAAATAATAAGTAATTAAGTAATTGGGAAAACAATTCTCAGAGATTAATTATCCTCAGGAACAAACTAAAGTAACTAAGATTGTCTCTTGATTCTCCATGCTTCACTGCTAGTCTTTGCAACACATAGGAATTCTTTCTGTGGGCTACCATTCTTACTGTTGTGGTCTAGATCTTTGACCTGACACATCAGATCCATCACATCTCTTATTTTGTGATCTTGCCACTCACTCTTTATTCCCCTGAAATAAGTTTCTCTCCCCATCACCATTGCTGTCGGATGCCAGTAATTTTCCAATTTACAACCTCCTTACTTTATCTGGACACAGTCTCCGGATTAGTTATTGGGAGCATCCTTCTCTTGACTTCCAGCTTTCACAGTTGCCTTAGTCTTGCACCATTCTGATTGTACTCGGGTATTTGTGTCCTTTGTTCTCTGTCACCTCTGGCATCTTTTCACAAGTTCTGCATCACCCTGCCAAGTGCTGACAGTCCTGTCCAAACTTACTCTCTAGGGCCAGAGGCCAAACGTTTCTAGGACTTGGCAGGAACTAAATAGATGAAATTGATGGGCTTAAAACAATAGGGGATTGGGTCTCATCTGAATGTATCCTTCTTTTGTCAGCAGAGCACACAATGCCTGGGTTTGTACAGCAGTGGTTAACATGGATGCCTGCCACCTCTTCTCTGGTCTGTTGGTTTCAAAGATTGCAAAGTAGGGATAATGAGGGTCTCTACTTAGCAATTGTGAGAATTCACATAAATTAATGTGCATCAAAATAGAAAAACCAATGTCTGGTACTTGGTAAGCGCTACATAAGTACTTGCTATATAATTAATTTATATACTTGCTATATAATTAATTGATAAATGGTTGCTGTGGTCATGATATTATCTACTATACCAGGGTATGAGCCTGTGATAGATTACAGGCACTCACTCTCAAGTGCTGACCTCACATTTGTATGAACCTGCTAGTGAGTGTCTCTTTAAATTTTGTGTGAGGTGTACCTCTTTTGCCTTATTTTAGGGTTAAAAAATCTAGCTCATTGAGAGCCTAAGGCTCCCAATTGTCTTAGATTTTACATTATCTTTGCCCATTTTTAGTTAGTCCTTTCCTAAAAACTTAAGTTTTTCCATCTTACAGTGCTCTTGCATAACTTGGCACTTTCTTACTCTGTTACAGTTCTACTTTAGGCTATCTAGAACTTACTAGGTCTACTGAAAGAGCCCAACCCAACCTGCTATGTTCCTTTCTATACCTATGAACTCACTTTAACATTCTCCATAGCAACTTTAACCTGTCTTTCTGGTTGTACAGCCCCACCCCTCCCCTCCCCGTGTTCTTCCACACTGGAACACACTCTGTCCAGAGTGCAGCCTGCAATCCCACCTGTCCTTCCCAACCAAAGTGCCTAACCTCCAGGGGAACCACTTTCTGATAATCAAAAAAATCAAAAAACATTTCTTAAAAACCTCCCTCCCCACAGGGGCCTCTTAATCTGCCTTGAACTATATAATCCCGACCATTTATCTTCTCCCAACTCTAGATGAGCCAGCCTACAGCTAACATGTCCTGTAGAGTGAACCACAGTGCTTAAAACTTGCAACATACTAAAATAAGAAGCTGAAGCTGGCAATTCATATTTAATGGAAAAAGAATCAGGGACAAAATAAAACAAAATGACTTGCTGCAAGTGAGAACACAAGTCTCTCCTAATTTTATCATGTTGTTTTCACTGATAAAACTGACTAATTTACATCTAACATGAAACTTCAAATTCTGATTACATTTCAAAGTATATTCTAACATATTTAGTCCTTTGCCTTAAACTTACTGGTTTTCAAACCATTTCGGGCATGAGACCAAAACAGAAGGGAGTAACTGTGGGGTCAAAGTGGGGGTCTCAAGGAAGTAAGCAAGTGACCTCTTGCAAGAAATACTATTTGAGGGATTTTGTTTTATTTAATTAACTTATTTTATTTTATTTGGAGTTTTTGGGCAAAATTTTTTCTTTACTCTATAAGAGATCTACATGAGTTAGGAAAAGCACAGCATGCCATGTCGCCTAATATCTGGGAAAGGAGTGTTTTTAGGGTGATAGGCCCTAACTTTCTAGCCTATACCTTTTCTATTTTGAGAAGCAAGAACATAAAACATGAAGACTATTTTGTTTTTCTTCTCATTTCCGTCTTCTCATTGCTGTTTATACTGTGGACTGTTTATATTGTGTTTATACTGTAGCTTCAAATGGCCCATATGTCTTTCAAATGGATGGTTAGATCTGGACAGAAAAAGTAGATCGCTTCTCATCTCACATCAGGAATTCTTCAAAAGCTCCAAGAAAGCTGCACTCACTCCTGAGAGGACTTGGCAGGTATCCCCTGGAAACTTCCTGTATCAGCGGCTACTGAGGCTGTGAATATCTGTGATTTACTAGCATCCACATACTTGCTGGGGATATGCAAAGCTAAGAACAATGCTTATTCAGACGCTTATGGACCTCTTATAGGCTTTACTTTACACCTACGATGTGTGAATCAATACTAATTTCCTTGGCACTGATGCAAGGCCTTTATATATTGTCAGGCGCTCAATACGTATTTATTATGTGTCTTTTCAAAACACTTTAGTATCTTCTTCACTTTATGTCATTCAAATGCATTATCTTCATTACAAAATGTCACACTGAAACAGCATTTAGCCTGTACCATAAGTTATCTAAGCATATGTCTCTAAAATACAAACCTGGTAGGCACAGGGATTCATATTCTACCTGTTCTGGGTACTTACCTTATCATCTGCTTTGACTGGTGCTGCAGATACACCCGCAACAATAGTTTCTCCCCCAGCAGAAACATGGTCTTGTGATTTCACCTGTGACTGGAGATACAAGATGGACAAGACTAAGTATTTTTGGCCATTACTAAGATCATGGGTTTCAAATGTCACTGGTAACCTACCAGTGACATACATACACATCATGGATGAGGAATGTTTATTGCTCCAGGTACAGAGGGAGCACCACATGAAACTGGACTCAAAGCCTGTAGAGTTCTATATGTCATTCAAATAAGCAAATATCATCATTCCTGGTCTGTGTGTTTCAGTGCTCTGCAGTAAACCAGAACACACAGACCAAATATTATGGCTCAAGTCAACTGTTACCCTGTGAGTTCATTTTGGCGAATATTCTTATCAAAGAAATTAGAAATTGTGATTTGATACAAAATATCTCAATTTTACTTGCTGGCAAATAATTTTAACTAATTTTGAACAGTACTGCAAGCAAAACATATATGCATATGACTGCATTTAACTGTTTGTTCAGATATAAAATTGTGACCTCTGAAGCAGGCCTGGTTATCATCTTCCAAATGCTTCAATAAGAAGTTCTTTTCATGGTTGTTTATTCTTGTATGAGGTGATGATTGTTAACTATAAAACTATGGAGTCAATTTTTGATTTACTGGCTCTGCAAGTTCATCTATTTTGTAATCTGTTTCTAAAAATGTTTCAAGGCTTCCACTTAAAGAAGTAGATAAAGCTGGGCATGCTAGTAGTCCAAGATGATTGGAAGGCTAAAGCAGTGGGTTACTTGAGCCCAAGTGTTCAAGACCAGCTTCCTCTGGGATACAATTAGACTCCATTTCACAAAAGAAGGAAGGATGATCACCAATGGCACAGAATAGAAGACCCAGGAATAAACACACAGACTTAAAACCATTTACTATAATATAGAATATTAAGAGAGCCCAAAACATAGACTGGAAGAAGGCCTCTTCAACAAATGGTTGTGGCAAAACTGGACGTTCCCATGTAGAAAACTGAAACTAGATCCTTATCCATCACCTTCCACTAGCATCAATTCGAAAATGGATGAAAGACGTCAATGTAAGACCTGAAACCAAGAAACTGCTACAGGAAGGAGTGAGGGGAAACATTAAGTCTGCTGGGCACAGGAAGGAATTTTCTGAGTAAAGGTTCGGAAGCATAGCAAATTAATAAAAGACTTGATAAATGGGTGTGCATCAAGCTAAAAAGTTTCTGCACAGCAAAGGACATAGCCAAGCTAAACAGATAGCTCACAGAAGGGAGAAGATTTTGCCAAATACACATCAGCATGTCTAGATATCCAAAATACACAGAGGACTTCAAAAATTAAAGCCTTAAATAACCAACAACCAAATTAATAAATGGGCTAATGAGCTGAAGAAAGTCTTCTCAAAAGAAGTAAAAATGCCCAATAGACACATAAAGAAGAGCTCAATTTCTCTGGTCATAAAGAAAATGCAAATCAAAACCACATTGAGATTCTACTTCAAGAATGGCCATTGTGAAGAAAACCAATGATAACAGATGCTGATGAGGATGTAGCCAAACAAGAACTCGTAATACATAGTCAGTGGGAATGTAAACTTGTTCAACCACTCTGCAAAGCAGTGTGGAGTTTGTTTAAAAAAATAAACATAGAATTAATGTATGATCCAGCAATTACATTCCTGGGCATTTACCCCAAAGATTACAAATCAAGATACAGTAAAACCACCAGCACAACCATTTTTACTGAAGCACTATTCAATATAGCCAATATATGAAATTAGCCTAGATGTCCCTCAATGGATGAATGGATCAATGATACTGTACCACTTAAGAGATGGAAAGACTTGGAAAAAATTGTGTTAAGTCAAGTAAGCCAGGCCCTGATTTAGCTTATTTAGCAAGATTTAGCTTATAAACTCATAAGCAAATACTTTGGGTGGCATTCAAGTATATACAAATGTATTAACTAAAATAAGGTAGATTCAGGGGGCAACTCAAATAATGTAATTCCTTATAAACGAAAAGTCAACACTTAGCAAACTAAAACATCAGAAAGCAGGTACTCAAAAGGATTGTGGTGGAGTCCAAGGGAAAGGGGTAGATAAATGAAGAGGAGAAGAAGGGGAGAATGCAATAAAGAATTCAATGTACATACTACAAAATTCAAAAGAGCGAGGAAAGGGGTGGGTAGGGAAGAGGAGGATAAGGAAGGGATGGATGGAGGGGTGGGTAAGAATGTTGAAAGAGGTTACATTAATGGATATATTTTGTATCATAAACTGCATTGTTATATGGCAACTCCTTGGTGAAAATAATAAAAGAGGGAGGTCAAAAAAAAGGAAGATAGACAGGCTGCCTATAATCCCCTAACTCAAGTTTATATTAGCTCAGTTCAAAGGAAACATCAAAACCTGTGCCTTACAGTTACAGTCATGGCTGGTCATTTCTGGATGGTGGGAGGAGGCTGTACTGTACATTTCCCTGAACTCTTCTGCCTTCCAGACCCTACATAAGCTCACGCTCCTATGATACTATTTGCAAATCAAAGAAATAATAGCAACAAAGTCTTCCAAAGAAAATCATATACAGCATAATCCTACAGGTGCAACTCTGCAGTTCAGTTTGAGGAATAATATAAGCTAATTAATGTCAGCATTTTTATATATGTCAATCAGGTTCATTTACCTTTGGTTCTGTTGATTTCTCTGATGTCAGCTTCTCATTTGCTTTGGAAACTGCTTTTTCTTTATGTGCTTGTTTGCTTCCTGCATCTGGTACATGCTTAGGGAGGCTTTTTGGCTGAAAACACATAGACATGTGTGTATGTGTGCGTGTGTGTGTGTGTGTGTGTGTGCGCGCGCACACACACACACACACACACACTGTTAACACAATGGGATGGTTTTGTTTGTTTTGTAGGTCATGGGGCTTGAACTCAGGGCACTGCCCTTGAGGTTTTTTTTTTTTTTTGCTAAAGGCTAGTGCTCTACCACTTAGAGACATAGCTCTACTTTGGGTTTTCAGGTGATTAATTGGACATAAGAGTCTCACAGATACTCCAGCCTGCACTGACTTTGAACTGCAATTCTCAGAACTCAGCCTCCAGAGTAGATAAGGATTATAGGCTTGAGTCACCAGCATCCAGCTGTTTGTTTTTGCTTTAGGGTAGTACTTATAGACTTGAACATGCTAGATAAACACTAATACTTGTACCACTTGAGCCACATCCCCTGCCCTCTGATATTTTTTTAACCTGATAATAACTTTCCTTTATAAAATACACACTATTCATAACAATTGTAGTACTTACAACTTTAGTTATGTTAATTGGAATTAGTGTGATAAAATATGATAAAATTTCACTCTAGGATCTGGTGGTAGTAGCTCATACTTGCAATCCTAGCTACTCAGGAGGCTGAGATCTGAGGATTGTGGTTCAAAGCCAGCCTGGGCAGAAAAGTCTATAAGAGTCTTAGCTCCAATAAACCACCAGAAAACCAGCAGTAGCACTGTGGCTCAAGTGGTAGACAGCTAGCCTTGAGCTGAAGAGTTGAGGGACCGAACCCAGGCCCAGAGTTTAAGCCCCACGACCAACAACAAAAAAATTCACTCTATGAAAAAATATGAAATAGTAAATTTCCCCCCGACTCCCAAATCAGCAATAATCACTGGAATAAGTTGTAAATACCATTACTACCACAGGATGGCACCATTTTAGCTAAAAAAAATCTATTCAGCCATCTACTTTTAGAATTAGTCTCAAATGATGATTTTACTTACATGTTACCAAAAGACATAACTTCGTAATGACAAGTCCTGGTGATAATCACTTACCTCTGCGTGTTCCTTTGGCTTTCCTTCTTGGGATTTTTTCTCATGGACCACAGAGGGCTGTTAATTTCAAAGAGTTTAAATCTCAGTTACACTGGGATCCACTGTTTTCACATTGCCAAACTAGTGATTAAAATTCCAATTAAATTACTCTATCTCAGGGAAAGCTTACTGAGACTGGGATCAGAGTAAACATGTGCTGTTTGGTCAAGAGTCACCCTACTATAGTTCTAGTAGTGGAAATTATCAGAAGAACAGTGAAAAACTGAGAAATTCATCTAGAAAATTGCTTCAAATACACCTTTCTCTAAGTTACTATCTGCTTTTCACAACTTGAAGGTAAATTAGCAACTACAAGTCTTTCTACAGACACAGTAACTACAAGATTTGTTAAAAAAACACTTCCTGGAATGCATAAATTTTTAGTCTCTTTTCATAAGAACTGAAGAATAGTGTTCTTTCTTCAACTAATTTTCAAAGCTTTTCTTTTTGTTTCTTATAAGTAGAGATAAGTAGAGAAGATCCTATCATCAGAGACTCAATTCTTTTGAAATGTGGTAGATAACTAAAAGCACTTAGATGTGTAATAGAAGACAACTCTAACCTAGACGCTACATTTCTCACTCTGAAATCTACAACTACTATCACTAGGGGCCACCAACGTGCTTTCCATAAAATGAGGTAAGTCTTACCTTTCTATAAGCTCAACCTCACAGCTACTTACAGTACTTTGCCTAAGTTATCACTACCTTCTAAGGAGAAATGTTGTGTGTTTATTTAAATATTCACCTAAGTACTTGAAAAAATAAAGTACTGGTCATTATTAAAGTGACAGATTTGTTGCAATACAGACACCCTGAGTTCTGTTCCCAGATAGAGGCAGAAAGGCTTTCAGTCTGGACAGCCACAAGTCAGGATCGCAAGGCAAGCTGCTGCCAAGAGAAGGTCCCCAAGTGACTGATAATCATCTCCATCAATCCAGACAAGTGTGTCAAGATCAACATGAAGCGTCTAGGTGCCAGGTTCAACAGACACATTGTTGTTGATGTCTCACTGAAATTATAATTGAATATTCACTGTCTTTGTCTTTCCTCTTTTACTCCTGTTCCATTTTTTTTAATTTCACTTAAAAGTCTAGATTTGAATAAATGGCTTCTGAAAGAGGTTTTGTTTTCCTATAAAACATTATATAATCTTTTACATATGCATGGATTTAATGTTATAATTAGTTTATTAATACCCTTTATAACCATTTGTGTAAGGTATACATTTTTTAAAAACAATTTCTTTTTAGTGCCAGTACTAGGGCTTGTACTCAGGGTCTCACACGCTCACTTGGCTTTTCTCAATCACCACTCGCACTCCACCACCTGAGCCATGCATCTACATTTAGCTGTTTTGCTGGATAATTGGAGATAGGAATGTCTTGTGTTTGTCTGCCCACAGATTTGTGTTGTGATCCTCAGATCTCAGACTCCCAAGTAGCTACAATTATAAACATGAGCCACCACTTCCTGGCTTTAAAAGTTATACACACACACACACACACACACACACACACACACACACATCAAAAGTAGTTGATACATCCCTTAACTCTAGTATCAGGTAGGAAATTGGTTTTTCATTATCATGAAAATGAATCTGAACAATTCATATGTAGCTTTAAATCATTTACCTTAGTTGATTGTGACTTCTCAGATGATTGTGACTTCTCAGGTTGTGTTTTTGCAGCCTAAATACAGAAGGAAGGGAGGGAGGAAGGGTGAGAGGAGAGATAAATTTTAAATGGACATAGATCACCAAGATTATAATAGATTAACTAAGTAAGCTCAAAATTTTATATAAAATTTATGTTTATATAATATTTATGTTTATTATACTTTTCTTGGTCTTATTTTTAGATTAACACTTAAACACACTAATATTCTTCTTTCACTATTTATATGGCAGTTTATGTTTAATTTCTTACAATGTCTGTCAAGGATGCAAGGATTCATTAATATTAACATCACAGCAAATACATAAGCAATATGAAAGTCTTCATCCTTAAAGGCCAAGTATATAGATTTCAATGTCACTAACCTGATCTTTTTATCAGAGATATACTCAATACAAGTTTTCCCTAAAGTGTGAAACAATGGGGTGGTAACAGAATGGAGGACACAGAAAGCAGTGAAGTTTTTAGTGGCAGAATGTGATTGATGAGTAGGTAGCTAAGTTTAGAGAAAGTCTGTGATGGAGTCCAGGCAGTACAGAAGATTGTGTCCTGCAATTATTAGCATGTGCTGAGTGGCTGCAGTAACCATTAGTAACAAGATGCCCTCGTGCAATGAACCACATCACCTGTTTTTTGTGTCTTTTCTTGTTAGGAGGATGTAGTCCTTCCATCTGTTTGCTGCTTGCCTAATATAAGAGCACAGCCCCAAACACAATGGTCAAATACGTACATTTATGCAAAGGGCTAACATGTTTATATCAAGATCCATTCTACTTATCTAATGCATCTTCCAATGCATTGTATGTAATTCCAAGAAGACACAGGTACATAACTTATAGGGTCATTGGCAAATGTTTCAGTGAGGGTTTACTTTTTTTCAGTGAAGATTTGTATTAAGAAATAAAAACAGAATCTGTTGAAGGGCACCTTTGGGAAGGCTTGGGCTAATAAGGGGTGGAGGATGAGAATGAATCTGGTGGAAGTTGTCTGTATGTATGAAGACAGAACAATGAAATTGCTGAAACTGGTTTAAGGACGGAGGAGGGAGGTAAAGGGCAGTTAGAAGGATGAGGCTGATTGGGATATATGTGTATATGCGTGGAAATGTCACAATGAATCTTCCCTCGTACAACTAACCTATGAAAAGAGACTTCCATTTATAGACTTATTTTATAATTATTTTCATTACCTTTCCTTCTCTGTGTAAAGGCAGTCTGAGCAAGATTTTTTTCTACCTATATTCCCACTATGTGGATACAATCTAACAAATAGTTGAAGGTATCATCACAAGTTTTCTGAAATTCTTCCAACATAACCTTCAACATTTTTGCAAACACTTATTGTACCTGTCATAGCCCTAAATGAAGATTTAAATCTACATTTCTAAGAATCCTTTCCTTAAAGAACTGGTTCTAATTACTGCTAGGGTAATTACTGAGTTTGGAACTACAGGCCACCTAAGCAAAAAAATGTATAAAATCCCATTGAAGCTGGGTGTGGTGGCTCATGCCTATCATCCTAGCTACTCAGGAGGCTGAGATCTGAGGATCACTGTTGAAAACTAGCCTGGGCAGGAAAGACTGTGAGACTCTTATCTCCAATAAACCATAGAAAACCGGAAGTGGTGCTGTGGCTCAAGTGATAGAATGTTAGCCTTGAGCTGAAGAGCTGAGGGACAGCGCCCAAGACCAGAGTTCAAGCCCCGTGACCGACAAAATAAATAAATCCCATTGAGACAGACATGTATCCACTATTAATGTAGGTAGGATATGAAAATCAGAAATAAACTGACATACGCTTCTATCTCTTAATATTATCTGAAGCGATTAAAATGAAATATTTCATTATCTTATACTTTAGTCATGAAGCTATGTATTTCTTTACATAATGACCACTTATTATACTAACATGTGTGTTATTTTAGGAACAAATCCAAGTTCCTGATCAAAGGAATATTTATAAGGAAATTTTAAGGGTTGATGGCTGTGGCTCAAGGCAGAGAACAGTTATCTAAGCAAGTGTGAGGCGCTGAATTTGAACCTCAATACAGGCAAAATCAAGAATGTTTAAACTATAATCCTATCACAATGCACCACTGCTAATGAATTTCTGTTTGTGCTATCTGTTTATGAATCTTTTAGTTTATTCAAATAAAATTTGTTAAAAGTTTAACAAAGAAAATAAGGCAGTTGGTATTATATTGATGTGAACCTGTAACTTTATAATTTTGTAATCAATTTTTCTGCACAGAATTCTACACCACAATTAAGAATATACAATCACAGACACAAGTAATTTATAAAGCAATGTGTATTTAAATCACCAATTGCTAAACTATTTTTTAGTAGTGGTGATGCTGAACATAAAATGTTCATAAGTAATAGTGATTATCAATCATGTCACTGAAACCAGGGCATCCTAAGCTTTACGTGTTAAACTCACTTAGTACTTATAATAACCCCATAAAACAGATACTATTAATATACCCATTTTACTGATGAGAACTAAAGGGTCAAAAAGTTAAGGTCCTGATTGCCTGTGACTGAGCTGGATTTTTGTACTTAGTCACAGTGCTTCATTGTATCTCTTGTATTGACTAACATAGTCACAGTGCTTCATTGTGTCTCTTGTATTGACTAATAGGTAACACACTCTGGGCATTGCTACGGGATAGGCACTGTTCAGTATAAGCTTGTTTCTTTATGTAGTCTTCTAAACTGGTATATAGTGATATACCTTCATAATGTTCAAATAAGAAAACCAAAGCAAAGAGGGGCTAATGCCATACCTGGAAAAGAATAAAGAATCCAAGCTATGCCGCCGGACTACAGAGGTCAAGCTTCATTCTGGTTAGAAATTGTTTGATTTTCTATCTTACACTCATCAGTGTGAATACCAATTCCAATGTTTCAGAGGCAAGAGACACAGAACAGAGGTGGGGACATCTCATCCCTTTCAGAGAGAGGCCGGATTATTTGAAAGCATGGTTGGTGACAAGGATTTTATATTTTTCCTTGAATTAGCATTTTTTTCCTTAAAAGCTCAAAATATTTAGAGTTAGAAACTTATCAGATTCAATCTCACACACAACTCCAAGAGAAAGGTAGTGTCACTATTTTGACTTAAACATCAGAAGCACATGAAGCTGAAGACAAGGTGATTAAAGAAAATACTGTGACTGAAAAACACCTCGTGGGGGAAAAAAATGAGGCCCAAAGTGGCCCCAAGCCAGGCACTGAGGACAATTCATCACATAGCTTCTTGGTTTTGTCTCCCCCTCTTTCTTCTCTTTCCCCATATTCACTGGACTGCCAGGAATTCTTGTGATTTGATGTTTCATGACACCTGAAGTTGGCTGACACTTGCACCACAAAACACACTTAAAATAGGGGCACACTTAAAATAAGCACTGGCACTTATGAGGAGACGCAGGGGGATTCCAATCAGGCAACAAGGTAAAAAGTGAACTAAAGGGAAAAAAGGAAGTACTCTATTTCTAGCTCTCCTTTCCATTTCTTCTCTTAAGTTTTATAGATTTCAAGTTTGATGAGAATTGTTTCCTTTTATATGTTTCTCCTTCAGTCATTAAAGACTATTTCAAGATTAAAATAGGATTTAGCAACCATGGAGACTGGGGATGTGGCTCAGGGAGTGTGTGCTTATCTAGCACACATGATGCCCTGAGTTTGATCCCCAGCACCACCAAAAATAATATTTTTCACTTAATCTTTTAACCAAGAAGTGACAGTTAATAGATTATGCATATGTCATGTGATGTCCATTTTGAATGAAAAAATTAATATAATGTAAAATACTAAAGGACAATAGAGCACTAGATTATTAAATATTAATTTAAAAATAAAAATACAAATATTAATTAAAAATAAAATCGTTGACACATAACTGTTATATTAAGAAAACACAACAATGTGTTTCCAGATATTTGTGATATCTACTTTTAGATGAGGCCACAGGATCCCTGATAGAGAAGCTACAGTGCTGCATCCTATAGGACATGAAATGACTGTGACAGCACAGTATTGCAGAAGACAGAAAGTGAGCAGTGCCAGAGATTTTAAGCAAGGCAATTTATTAATTATGTAATTGGTATGATGGAATCTCTTAAAGAAACTGTTAAAGAATACTGGTTAATAACAATGAGAGCACTGTGAAAATGCCTTCTGATTTAATCCCCATGATTTAATCCTACCTGACTGAAATTTTACAAAGCATCTGAAACACTATCTGTTTCCTTTGTTCCCGTGATCATTTAGTATAATCATCCACCTTTTTATATTTATCTTGAAATGCACATCAAAAATGTGGTATATATATTTACATCATGGAATCCTATTCATTCATCTGAAAGGATGATATTGTACCATTCATACAATGGAAATGGAAAGACTTAGAAAAAAGTATATTAAGTGAAGTAACCCAGACCCAGAGAAATATAGGTTGCACGTTTTCCCTCATTTGTGATAGCTAGAATGTACTTACATAAATCTATAAATAAACACACTGGGTGGTATACAAGTGGTTGTAAATGAAAAAAAAACCTGAAGTATAACAGACTGTATGGAGAGCTCAAATAGTATAACTCTTTAGGAATTATTGTCAAATCCAACCAAATAAATGGGAAATGGGTACTTGCAAGAGGGGGGAATGGAGCTAAGGGGAGAGGGGTGGAAGAATGAATGAGGGAAGGGAGAAGAATTTAGGCAAGAATTCATTATATATTCCACAGAATTAAGAAAAACAGGGGAGGAGTGGGTTGAAGAGGGGGATGATGTTGAAGGGATGACATAGGTCCGAATGCACTGTATACATAAACTATTTTGTTACATGGCAGAAAATCAAGACATATCCTAAAAATTAAGAAAAGTGAGGGAAGTGGTGGGTGGAAGGGGGGTGAGAACATTGAAAGGAGTGACACTGATCAAGACGCACTGTATTCAGAAACAGCTTTGTTAAATGGCAACTCCTGTACAACTACTGAAAGATAATAAAAATATTCAAACAATGCTCATCAAAATTATTAGGATCATTTGAATAAGAAGTTACATTTTAAATCCTGATTTAGGCCCAGAGATAAGAATTTGGCGAGAGCATCTACATTTCAAACACTTAAGACAGAAACAAAAGCAAAAACAAAAATAAAAGTACGAAAGAAAAGAGAGGAACCAAATGAAAGAGAAAGAAAGAAAAGAGACAATCCAAGTGACTACTTTCTTCTAGATATTCTCAAGCTATGTAGACATTTGAAGATGTTCAAGGTAAATATTAGAAAGAGAGTTGAATTTTCAAAGATGCCTCCCCCATAAACTAGAAAGAAAATTCTTATATCCATCCACAATGTAAGCTTCCTAAAACATAAGACTTGACAGTTAACAATTATTCTACATTTTTCTTTGCTCACTAATAAAATCACACTGTAACTAGCAAAGTGGTCACCACCCAACTTAATCCTGGAGGATCTTGGTACCTGGCTTTCTGTGGTATTCATACTGGAAGTCTTGGCAGTTGCACCTGAGGAGGCTGATACCTGAAAAGAAAAGAAGTAGAAAGTCAGACTTGATTTCACCTGAGGCCTACATTATCTTTAGTGACTTTTATCCATACTGCCCTTAGGTTTTCACTTCAGTTGTATGTAGTTTACAGCACTCCACCCACAAGGCTCCAGTAAATGGCATTGTTCAGAAAGTAAACATCTACCACAGATCAAATGGGCTCCAATTTGGGTTTGATTTTACCAAATGACATTGACAAGTTACTTAAATTACCTGATTTTCAGTTTCCCATACTTATTTTTTTCTTCAGTAGGTAACAACTGCCTTCAATGTTTATCATAACAATTATATGGTGCATGATTAAACAACTGCTAATATTATTTTTTAGAAAAAAAAAGCATGGGCTTTGAACTTGATAGAAGTTTGTACAAATCCCTGCTCTGTTTATTACTGGCTCTGTAACTTTGCACCTTACTTTTCCAGGTAGCTAAAATGAGCCAATAACATCTATTTTGCAGGTTTTAAAGTACTTACAATAATGCATGCAAAATATCTGACACACTGTAACCATACATGAAATTACTACACATTAATACTAAAATATTATTTATAAAACTAGAAGGATCAAGGACATAATTTTGAAAATACACTTGGGTGGATGAGAATCAGTTTTATGTTAACAGAAAGTGTAGGACAGCTTGCAGAGGAAATTTTACTACATTATCGGTCTCATCTAGACTCTTCCTGGGAAGTACTAGATAAAGAATGGCAACTTTAAGTACTCAAGAAACAACTATCTTAGGGGTGTATTGTGGTGGTAGATTCTTGAAAGCCGACCTCCCAAGCAATGGGTGACACTTGAGCCTGTGGAAACATGCCTGGTATTGAGTGCTATTCTCGTACTTAGCTTGTATTACACTGGTTCGTATTAAATAGATGATTATCATCTTGGCACATGCCAACTGAGGCTCATTTAAACCCCCTTACCATTTGAGTCCGTTAGGCTTGAGAGCCCAGGAGTTCCATCTGGCATGCATTGCCTTCTTGAGTAATCAGCTGCCAGTAAACAGCTGCCGCCTTGCCAGCAATACCCAGGGAGCCTGTAATTCAGACTTTGCTCTGTCTCTAATGTCTGGCCCTGAGCCATTTCATGGGCTGAGTCAGAAGGCAGCATGAGTCTGTCCCTGCTCTTCCCTTCCCTTTTCCCATCTCCATTTCACACTTAATAGTGTGAACTCACCTGCAGCCCAAGACCAAAAGTATGTTCCCATCAGACCTCAGCTCAATTACCAGCAATTACAGATAAAAGCCCAATACTTTGGCATACTGACTTTTCATATATGCTTATTTATACTCTAGGTAAAATTCAGGCATGCCCTCCCCCAAAACATGTGCATGTGTATACACACACACACACACACACACACACACACACACACACACACACACACACACACACCTGGTTCTTTGGGACAAAGAACTGAAAGATATATGCAGGTAGATTTTCCCTTTGATTAAATTAGTGGAAAAATACATAAATATCCACTTTTTCCTCTGAGAATACAATTTATGGAAATTTAAATGCTCCTAATTCTGTTTTGCTGCAGTTAGAATTAGTGGGACAAAGTTCCATAGTAACTCAAAAAGTTCCACTTTGCTACATCTCAATTTTCAATGATTTCTTTCAACCATGTAAAACTACTCTAGGAACCAAACATTCTCCATGAAAGTGCTTTTTAAGATAAAATTCTTTTGTGGGATATTCATTTATTTTTTAGCATCCAATTTTATTCATTTTTTGTTCATTTGCTTTTTTATCCTTATAGTTTGATGATTTAACCTGACTTATTACTTTATTAAGTGGTATCTAGGCTAGGTGCTAGAGGCTCAAGTCTATACCGTAGCTACTAAGAGATTTGAGGACTGAGGTTCAAACCCAGCCTACATAGACAAATCCTTTAAACTCTGACTTGCAATTAATTAGCAAAAAAATCAGAAGTGGAGCTGTAGATTAAGTGGTAGAGTGCTCATGAACTAAAAAGCCAAGAGAGGGTGAGAGACTGTACCCACACTAAAAACAACCAATACCTGGAAATGAGCCCCAAATCTTAGAAGATTTTCAAAGTCCCAACAAGAAGAGTTCAAATTCCAAGTAGACAAATTACAAATAGGCATGAAGTAGGCTAAAGCAGGAATTTAGCCAGAGCTCATGGTCCCACCTGTCCTAGAACAGATCCCTCCACCGAAGTTCCATCTTCTAACTAAAAACCATGAAGTATCTTGAAGTTGGGAACTGGAAACAAAGGAAATGACCTCACTTCACTATTAACCCATTCAATTCTGGACTAATGAAGCTTGTTTGATTTTTATTCAATAGGTGAAGACAAGTAATTTTAATAGTTGTTAGCTCCCAATGTAGGACTGAATGCACCTTTATTTTAAATCTTTTGTAATGCATAAATAGCTATTATAAATAAAAGATGGTGGAAAGATATTTTGAAGATGAAGAACTTTAGCAATAACCTTATTACACATTGACACTCAGGTTTTAAACTGATAAGGGAAACCAATTCTCATGTCTAGGGTTCACCAGAGGTCACTGACTCCTTAGGTGTTAACCCAGAACACAGTTTGTGCCTGGTAGTGGGGTGAAACCAATAGCCATATCTCTGCCCTTGTGAAAGGTCTAGCCTTACATTATCTTATATTAGTTAAACAATCAATCTGACAATTACTTGCTTCAAAAGGAAATCATGGAGTCCATTCAGAACTCAGACTACCAAAGAAGATATAGTTCAGGGAACAGTTGTGCCAAGAGGTGCTAACTATGTGACAGGTTGTGTAGTGACTAATGGACAAGGAGACATCAACTAGGAAGGAGGCTGAAAGGAGCATGCCATGCATGAGGACCCCGTGAGCTGTGCATCAGTGTGAGGACCTAGGTTGTCTGCTTTCCAAACCGTTGCTCCTCTGTATGGTGCTTATGGCTTATCTGGTCAGTCCTAACAACATCAAGGGGCTTCAAGTTTTCATAAACAACTACCAGTGCTTGTATCAAACAAAATACCTCTTGTAGGATTAGCACTGATCTGCAGTCAGACTAAAGTAAAACTATAGTTCTTTCTCTACCTGTGCAAATTTTGCAATATCCAGAAAAAAGGGTACCTTAAGAGAAACCATTCTGGGCTGGGAAGGTGGCTCAGTGGTACAGCGCATGCTTTGCATGCCAGAGGCCCTGGGTTCAATTCCTCAGCACCATATAAGCAAAAAGAAAAAAGCCGGAAGTGGAGCTGTGGCTCAAGTGGTAGAGCACTAGTCTTGAGCTGAAGAGCTGAGGGGCAGCACCAAGGCCCAGAGTTCAAGCCCCACAACCGGACCCCCCAAAAAAAGAGAAATCATTCTCCATCTACCCATTCAACAATTTTCATGTAGGGAGCACTGAGACAGAGCTTGAGGATAAACAATGAAGAAGCTACAGGCCTGGCCTTGAAGGAGTTGGGTCCAATTAAATAAACTGACAACAAACATGTTTAATTACAACCTAAGTGGTCTATCAATGTGAAGAGGCCTTTCATGTGACACAAGAAATACTTTAGTTCCAAGTAAGTTGTAGGCCCATCTGAAATAATGTTGCTATAGTTCCAAGGTGTATTAAGATAAACAACACTGTTAAGAGATCAGTTGCAATCTAGGGAAAGCAAACAAACAAACATTTATTTTACTAAACTAATGATAATTTATTTTCTGCCTTTATTAAATAAAACCTCTTTATGATTACTCTCTATTTTAAGAATCTTAGAAGCTCACCACAATGAAGAATCAAAGATAAAAGGGAAAGATGAGGCTGGGAAGTTGGCTCAGTGGTAGAGCGCTTGCCTTGCATGCATGAGGCCCTGGGTTCGATTCCTCAGCACCACATATACAGAAAAAAGCCAGAAGTGGTACTGTGGCTCAAGTGGTAGAGTGCTAGCCTTGAGCTGAAGAGCTGAGAGACAGAGCCCAAGCCTAGAGTTCAGGCCCCATGACTGGCAAAAACAAAACCAAAAAAAACCAAAAAAAAACCAACCATGTAGGCCCCATGGTTTCCCATATATCTTCCCATTAAATAAAACAAGCAATAACTCCTGCTGTCCTTTTCAAAACAGACAAACCACAGAAAGGCTTTCTCTTGTCTTTAAAGTCCCTATCTCCAACGTCAACATTATCTCATCACCCATTGAAAAATATACTCCACACATCCAACCTCTCTTATCCCAGACACACTGCGCTTATCTCTTTCTTTATGCTTTCCACTCAGACATCACTGTCTGCTGTGCTTCCCTCCTGGACATACTAAGCCTATGTACCCATTTGTTAAGGTATACCATGCTGGCTCCTGGTTCTGACATCATAATGTGTGCACCACTACAGCCAGTTTTAATTAGACATCATCTTTTTCCAACCCATAATAATACACATGGAAGGTGAAAACAAAATTGTGTCATGTGTAGTCTTCTCCACATGATACGATCCTTATGAAAGAGCTGTCTCTGCACTGGGGAGCACACTAGCCTCCATTGTAGCTGCCTGTCTTTCCTGGGCTTTTCTTGAATCTGTAAAGTGTCTCTTAAGCATGTGTGAGTAGAAGCAAGATTTAGGACCAACTTTCACCATCCTACACAGCTGGACTGAAGTGAAGATGGTTCGAAGCTCCATTGAAGATCCTTGTAATTTATCCAAGGTGCGCGGTGCAGCCTTCTGTCAAAGGGGTGGACATCGAGAGTGTTTGCTCATCTATTCCATTGTCATTCAGCTGATGGAAAAACCATTCCCTCAGCTCCTTGACTTCTCTGTTTCCCACAGAATACAGTCCCTCTCATTTTACTTGGCTCCCAGGCTGTCAGTGTCTTTCCAAGAAAGAAAGTTTCAGTTGACTTCCACATCACCTCTCCTCTAGCCACTCAGTCTTACCTTGATCTCTCTCCTTGTCCTCAGCTGGCACTCTGAGAAAGTGCACACACAGAATGGAACATCAGATGCATCCGATATTTTTTTT